AGGAAGGAAGGAAGGAAGGAAGGAAGGAAGGAAGGAAGGAAGGAAGGAAGGAAAGAAAGGAAAGAAAGGAAAGAAAGGAAAGAAAGGAAAGAAAGGAAAGAAAGGAAAGGAAAGGAAAGGAAAGGAAAGGAAAGGAAAGGAAAGGAAAGGAAAGGAAAGGAAAAAGGGAAGAAAAGGAAAGGAAAGGAAGGTCCCTTTGAGTATCTGAGCAAATCTGAGGTTTGGAAGTCTCCGAGAGAGAGCGCCTGGGAGAATCCCAGGAGCCAGTCTGTTAGCAGGCCAGCGGTCGAGGTCCTGGATGGGGCAGCGTGGCCACTTGCTAGCCTGCAGCATCATCGCATCCTTGCTGGACTGTACAGAGCTCAGGCCAGGAGGCTGGGCCACCTAGGTGCTCACCAAACTGCTCCCCAACATTCTGACTGTGTTACCTTCAGAGCCTGTCCGTGCTTCACTTTTTTCACTGAAAAACTGGGATGAAGTTGGGCGTGGTGATGCAGACCGGTAATCCCAGCACTCTGGGAGGCTGAGAGGCAGGAAGATCATAAATTCAGGGCAAACCGGGCAACTTAGTTTCTCACTGAGCCCTGTCTCAAAAGAAAAACTAAAAGAGAGCTGGGGATGTAGTTAGTGGGAAGCCTGGGGTTCAGTCCCCAGTACTACAAAACGAAACAGTGTTGAGAGTGAGAAGCTCCTTCTCCTAGGGCAGTGGAGTGAGTTAAAACAGGCAACACCCTGGGTTCAGGGCCTGGTACATCACAGGGCCCTGTGGTTGTCACTGCCACTCACCCATGCTGAGGAGAGAGCTCTGGTTGACCAGGACTTTCTTCCACACACCTCTACCCTATCCCTATGCCTCTATCCCCTATCCCTGCTGTGTCCCCATCTGACATGCAGCAGGCACAGCTGCGGAGTGTGTGTCCCCGTCTTTGTGGCTATCGCTCTCTAGGGCTGTTTATTTGTCCCCAGGAACAAACCCATGTGCTGATGGGAACGGGGGGTGCAGCCACCTGTGCTTTTTCACGCCCCGCGCCACCAAGTGCGGCTGCCCCATCGGCCTGGAGCTGCTGAGCGACATGAAGACCTGCATAGTCCCCGAGGCCTTCCTGGTGTTCACCAGCCGGGCTGCCATCCACAGGATCTCCCTGGAGACCAACAACAACGACGTGGCTATCCCTCTCACTGGCGTCAAGGAGGCCTCTGCGCTTGACTTTGACGTGTCCAACAATCACATCTACTGGACAGATGTGAGCCTGAAGGTACTGTGTGCTAGACTGTGCATGCCTGCAGTTTTTTGGTTTTTGTTCATTTGGTTTGTTTTGTTTTGTTTTTTTCTGGTACCAGGAATCGAACTCATGACCTTGGGCTTGCCAGGCAGGCGCTGTGCCGCTGAGTTAAATCCCCAGCCCCCGATGCCTGCAGTTTTTATGTGGATACCTTGCCTTTGGTGTGATCACCACCAAAGGCTGAAACAATTTTTTTTTTTAAGAAGTGTACTGTTTCCAGGTACATACCTGTAATCCCAGGTACTCTGGAGGCTGAAGCAGAAGGATCAAAAGTTTGAGACCAGTCTGTCTCAAAATAAAAATAAAAAGAGCTGGGCGTATAGCTCAGTGATAGAGCTCTTGCCTAGCATGCCTGAAGCCCTGGGCTCAATCCCCAGTACCACAAAGAAAAAACATTATAATATTCATTGTAACATGATCCAAGCTAATAAAAGACAAGTGTACTCATTTTAATAAGCAAGTGGGAATGATTATAATAAGCAGAACCAGGAGACACACCCACGGGCTTTTGTAGAGTACTGTGTAATGAACTGGTATTGACTGCAAACTTACCCCACCTGCTTTCACACCAGTTCCTGTTTGCATAGCAAACTCTTTCTGCACTCACAGTGAATATAGAAACATCTCTGATACATACAGGGAAAATGAGTTGTTCATCTTCCAAAGCGGGGTTTGACAAACTGGCCCTGGGCTGTCCTGACTTTGCAAATAAAGTTTTATTGGAACATGGCGATGCCCACATGTTTAGAATGGTCGGCCACAGCTTTTGTGCTACCAAACGGAGGAGTCATGCCACGTCCAGGAGTCAGGCCAAATCCTAGAGCATGGGAAGCATACAATACTATCTGCCACTTTCCAGAAAAAGTTTGCTGACACCTGTTCTAAAGTACTGGATACCTAACACAACGTAATCATCTTTCTCTTATCCTGCTATTTGTATGACAGGTCTTTGTTTTCCTTTCCTATTTTTATTTTTTACTGGTACATTCTTGCAGTCTATAACGATTATATTCACTGTGGGGAGTTTGTACCTATATATAACACATCTTCATTCCTTTTTTAATCCCCTCCCTCCCTCTCCCTTCCCTCCATCTCTTGGGTGGAAGAAGTTCTATCTCCCTGTTCCCTTGTAGTCCGATTTAAAAAGTCACAAGGGTTTTTTGTTTTTTTTTTGTAGAGGAGGAAATATTATGAAAAAAAGGTAAAGAAAGTAAAAGTCACCTGTGAGCTCACCAGGCACAGTCACCCGTCAGGATTCCTTCACTGGGTTTTCTTCAGCTCATCTCTCTCTGCTTCTCTCTTTCATAATCATGATCATATGCTGCCCAGAATCCCCTATCCTGATTTGTTTTTAGTTAACATTATAGCAAGAACCGGGCATGGTGGTACACACCTATAATCCCAGCACTCAGGAGGCTGAGGCAGGAGGATTGTTGTGAGTTCAAGACCAGCCTGGGCTACACAGCGAGACCCTGTCTCAAAACAAACAAACAAACAAACAAAAAATTATAGCAGGTGTTAAGCTATTTCAGACTCCTTAATATAATTGTTTCAACGTATGAAATATTCTATTGCCTAGGCAGTCCTTATTACACCTAATAGGGTATTGTCTGTAATAAACATTCTTTGCTTTGTTCTAGTTCTAAACAATACCATAGTAAAACCTTTCTGGAAGTTTGAGTAGTTCTTTGTCTTTTGTATTGTTAGCCCTTTGGGATAAAGTTTCAGGAGGAAGATTACGGGTGGAAGTATGGAAGTGTTTTTAGGAGTCCAAATAAATATATGACCTATACTATATAAATATAAAAGTGCTTATTTTTACATATATATATTTCTTCCACGTGGCTTTTGTAAAAAGGTTGTATTTTGCTGAATTTCATACATTAGTTTTAAAACTCTGGAATACTGGCGGTCTGATCCCAGATGTGTCAGCCCTTTCTCCAGTGGCCAGGCTGCTCATGGGTAGATGTCTGTAAATGACGTTGCTTCCTAAAATGTGTCCCTTTGCGTCCTCACTCACCGCAGACCATCAGCCGAGCATTTATGAATGGGAGCTCCGTGGAGCATGTGATCGAGTTCGGCCTGGACTACCCCGAAGGCATGGCCGTGGACTGGATGGGCAAGAACCTCTACTGGGCTGACACTGGGACCAACAGGATCGAGGTGGCCCGGCTGGATGGGCAGTTCCGGCAGGTCCTTGTGTGGAGGGACTTGGACAACCCTAGGTCACTGGCCCTGGATCCCACCAAAGGGTAGGGTTCGTTTTGTCTACCGGGTGCATCCCTGTCCCCTCCTCCTCTCTGAATCAGCCGGTGCCGTGGTGCCCATGGGGCCCAAGTGGTGGCTGCCTGCCTGGCGCTCTGGGATTGGAGTTGCACTGCTAGCTTGAAGGTGGCCCGTGGAGATCATCTAGTTCATTCCCACAGGGGAACTGAGGCCAGAGTGAAAGGAAGGCATGGAAGCTGCTGTTGGTCATTATACAGGCTGCTTTTACCTGGGCTGTCTTGAAGTATCCAGGAGCTGCCCAGGTTGGTATCTGTATCTCCGATTTTACAGATGCAGAAACGAGACTCTGAGAAGCTGAGGGACTCACCTGAGATCATGTAGCCGGTTAGAGCAGTGTTGGGCCTAGCAGTGCCTTCTTGGGCTCCACCCAGGAGGCCTTTGCGGCCCCCAGCCAGATGGTGTCTGAAAGCCAGTCCTGGGTGATGGCCGATCAGAAATGGCATCTTGCAGGCTACTGGGCCACAGCCCGGGAGCCATCTCGAGAGGCAGCCTGGGACCCTGCCTTGGACACTGGTGTGTGATCTCTCCGGACCTGAGTGGCCTTTGCTGTGCAGTGGGCACGGTGCCCACCCCGTAGAGCATCTGTGATTGTGGGGCAGCCCCCCCTGCCCTGCGCCTGCTCTGTGGGGGTAGGAAGTTTTCAGATGGCAGGATAAGGAGGACGAGGTCTAGGTTTTGGTGAAAGGGCAGTGGAGCTTTCAGAATTCTGGGATGCAGGTGTGAGTTTCCTTTTCAGGATATGTCAGAGAAGAGAAGGCGCCATTGGCAGAGTTGCACAGAGCATCCTGGCTCTGCCTCGCCATCGTTGGTTGTAAGGGGACCATCTATCCTGCTTTGTCCATGTCAGTGATATTCTGGTCACTTTATGTTGCATTTGTCCAAACAAAGTGTACTTGCTTGAAGCCAAGGATGGTGGCACACACCTGTAATCCCAGCACTAGGGGAAGCTGAGGCAGGAGAGCGGCAGGTTTGAGCTTGGTCTAGGAAATTTAGGGATTTGGTTAAACTCTGTCTCAAAATGAAAGAGCTGGCTTTCAGAGTAAAATGTCGAGTATATCTGCAAATGCTGGCCTCAGAGCTGGATCTGTTGAATTCCCCTTCATTTGACCTTGCAACCAATAAAGGCTGCTAGTGCCAGAATGAATAAATGAATGAATGAATGACCTGGGGATATAGCTGAATGTGAAGGCCCTGGGTTCAATCCCCAGGGGTACTCCGACTATACCCCCAAAAGAAAAAAATTGCCCCTGGTTGGGCATCCTATTAATTGATTATCTCATTTGTGTACCTGTTTTGTGGCTGCAGATGGGTGTTTGCCGGCCTGACAGGTGAGCCACCTGGGAATTCAGGGAGGGAACGCTGTCAGGAGCTCGGGCAGAGTGTCACTGTGTCCTGCTTTCTGGAAGGACATACTAATGTGGCTTCCTCCAGGAAGGATGGGGCTGAGCTGAGGAAGTAGTGGCGATCGTGTCCTCCCTACAGCCGCCTGCCCTGTGTTGAGCCTGCTTTTCCCCTCTCCCTGGTGCCTTCCAGCTACATCTATTGGACAGAGTGGGGGGGCAAGCCAAGAATCGTGCGGGCCTTCATGGACGGGACCAACTGCATGACACTGGTGGACAAAGTGGGCCGGGCCAATGACCTCACCATTGACTATGCTGACCAGCGTCTCTACTGGACTGACCTGGACACCAATATGATTGAGTCATCCAATATGTTGGGTAAGCATTGGGGGTGGCAGAGTGTGGGTTTCCTCCCGGCCTACCTCATGGCTCGGAGGTGTGGATGCAGCTGAGTGATTGCTGGCTTCCCTGTCTCTGGGGGCTTGGGCTTGTCCCTGGGGTAGCCACTGGTGCCCTTGTTCTCACTGTGTGGGAGAGGCCCTGGTGACAGCTGTTTCTGGATTCCAGGTCCCTCCAAACCCTGTGGCAGGGCTCTAATTTGATCCCTCACCATTTAGCAGAGGTTTTCAATGATGGGGAAACTGAGGCATGGGGAGATCATGTGACTTTCCTCTAGCACCCAACATCCTACTTTCTGTCTTTTGGGTTTGGCTATTCCCTTACTTAGGACTGTTACTTGGGCCCCTGCCGGATAATCCAGCATAATCTCTGTCTCGCACTTTCTAGTTACATTTGCATAGTTCCTTTTGGAGTGTAAGGTGATTCATTTGTAGTCTCTGGAACTGAGGATGTGGATTCATGGTGTAGGGGGATATCTATGGCTCTGTCAAGGTGTGATAGAAATATACAGCGAATGTTCAGATAAAAAAATCATTACAGTAAAAGATACATTGATACTGATCCCACCCCCAATACTCCCTCCTGCTTTGGGTATACGTAGTTCATCATTCTTGCCACTTTCTGAAGCAGTTTCTGGGAGTCCTCTTTCGTGCCTTTACATGGTGTGATCAAAACTATAGTGAGTGCTGCTGCTGAGGGCCATCCAACAGAGGACAGGCTCATAAAACCATCCCAGTGTGTCCTCATCAACTTACTCACTGGATCTGGCACTGTGAGACTGCTGGCTCTTCCTGCAAGTCAAAATGACCGTGAAAGGTAAATGTTTTGAATTGCTTCAGGACATTGAGGCAGCTGCAACAGTGCAACTAAAGACACTCAGGAAAGAGGACTTGCAGAAGTACTTCAGAAAGTGGCAAGAGCAATGGGAAGTGTGTTTGAAGTAAGGGTGAGTACTTTGAGGAAGATGAATGGCAATATATCTTTTACTATAATAAATTTTAAAAAATTTTTTTAAATTCACCATATTTTTTGATCGCATCCCATAGTTTGTATGTATATCAGCAGTGTAGACACTTTACCTGCATGACACTGAATATGTGCCATAGTGATGTCATGAGTCCCATTGACTGTGTCTCACTGTTTATTATAGGTAACCATCACGGGTACCCCTGAGGAAACTCTTAAGAGCACCCATTTTGGAGTTGAGGAGGTAGCTCAGAGTGCTTGCCTAGCGTGTGTGAGGCCCTGGGTTTCATCCTCAGCACTGTAAAAAAAAAAAAAAAAATGGGGAAAAAAATCCAGATGGGGAGACTGAGGACCAAGGAACACTTGGCTTTCTCAGGTCACATGCTCATCTGCAGAGGACCAGGGGTCTCAGGCTAAGTGACTGCAGGTTTTTTTTTTTTTTTTTAATTAAAAATAAGATGAATTTTGCTGGGTGGGGTGATGAATGCCTATAATCATAGCACTCGGAAGGCTCAGGCAGCAGGATCACTGTGAGTTTGAGGCCAGCGTGGGCTACATAAGCAAGTGCAAGGCTGGCTTGTACTGCATAGTGAGAACCTACCTCAAAAAAAAAAAAAAAAAAAAAGTGGATTTTAAAATTTTTAATAAAGGGCCAGGCGTGGTGGCAAACGCCTGTAATCCCAGCAATTGGGAGGCCAAGGCAGGATCATTGCGAGTTTGAGACCAGCCTGGGCTACAAAGTGAACTCAAGGCCAGCCTGAACTGCATAGTGAGACCCTGTCTCAAAAAGACAAAAAAAAAATTTTTTTTTACTAAAGGGTTAGATGTGGTGGCACATGCCTATAATCCCAGCACTTGGGAGGCTGAGGCAAGAGGATCACCATGAATTTGAGGCCAGCCTGGGCTATATAGTGGGTTCAAGTCCAACCTAAACCACATACCAACACCCTGTCTCAAACACATAAAATAAAATTTTTAATAAAGTATGACATATATTGGTAAAGCAGCAGTCTCCAACTTCTTTGACACCAGAAACTAATTTTATGGCAAATAATTTTTCCATGGCTGGGGGACATGGTTTCAGCATCAGATTCTCATAAGGTGCATACAACATAGACCCCTGGCATGTACAGTTCACAGAAGGGCTCAAAGTCCTATGACAGTTGAATGCCACTGCTGTCTGACAGGAGGCAGAACTCGGGCTGCAGTGCCAAAATGGGGATTGGCTGTAAATAGAGATGAAGCCTCCCTTGCTCACCTGCCACCTCCTGCTGTGCGGCCTGGCTCCTAATGGCCACAGCGTGGTACTAGTCCACTGCCTGTGGTAAAGCACAAAAATCTAAAACGGACAAATTGGTAAACGTTTAGGTGTGGATACTTATACAGGCTCACAAACATAATCTATGCAGCTCCCACCCAGAGTGAGGCAGGGAAGTCTCTGACCCCCTAAGATCTCCCTCTGGCTCTTTCCAGTCCCTCCTACAAACCTTCTGGGGATAGTTTGCTGCCCTGACTTCTTTGTGTATTATTTCTCTTGTTCTGGAACTTTGTGCAGTCTTGCAGTCCGTATTCTTTCCTCAATCTGATGGCTGGCTGCGCAGGGCAGTTACTCTCTTCATTTCTCTGGCCTTTGCATCCTGTGGTGATGCCTCTGACCACGGAGGCTCAGGCTGTCTTCAGCGACAGCTTTACACGTCCCCGCTGCCTCAAGTGCCTGTAGCCTGGTGGTTGTCACATGAGTTTTTCTCAACATGTGCCCTGGAGTGGGGTCGCTGGCTGGCTGGATGCTTAGCTGTGGCCAACTGGCCTTAATCTCCAGAGCCAGGGCAGCTCTAAGGCTTGGACACAGTGGCGGGCTGCGAGCTGCCTCACATGCAGTGCCCAGGCTGAACCACCTTGTCGGTGTGTCCACACGCAGGTCAGGAGCGGGTGGTGATTGCCGACGACCTGCCGCACCCCTTTGGCCTGACGCAGTACAGTGATTACATCTACTGGACCGACTGGAATCTGCACAGCATTGAGCGGGCTGACAAGACCAGTGGCCGCAACCGCACCCTTGTCCAGGGCCACCTGGACTTTGTGATGGACATCCTTGTGTTCCACTCTTCCCGCCAGGACGGCCTCAATGACTGCGTGCACAACAACGGCCAGTGCGGGCAGCTCTGCCTTGCCATTCCTGGTGGCCACCGCTGTGGCTGTGCCTCGCACTACACCCTGGACCCCAGCAGTCGTAACTGCAGCCGTAAGTGCCTCAACTTCCCCTTTGTACCTTAGCCCTGTGTTAGATCTGATGTCCCCAAGGGGTTGAAGGTCAGGAGGTTCTCATCTAGAGCACCTTGGTGTATATGGGTGGTTGGGGAGGTTGTGTACTGCACAAGCTTCATAATGCCACCCAGTGGCCCAGGCTGGGTAAAGGACCTATGACCTCATCAAGACACAACTCAATGGACACGGGGCCTCAGCTGGAAGATTCAATGAAAGGATCTTTGGATGTGAAAAACAGTGACTGGATGAGAGTGCTCACTCATTGGCAGCAGGGTCTAAGTGCTTTCCATGGCACTCTTGATCCTCAAGTCTATAGGGTGGAGCACATCCCATCCTCTCTTCACAGGAACCTGAGGTGTAGGGCTGTGCATTCACCTGGCCAAGGCCACACAGCTGGGAGGGTTGGAGCCAGGCTCACTCCAGGCGGGCTGGCTCTAGAACCCCTGCTTATGATCCCTTGCAGTGATGTCACAGCACTTTTTGTGACTGTTATGGCCTCTGAACTAGACAGGGCCTCACTTCTCATGCTAGTGATAACTGATCCTCCCCAGTCCATAGGGGGCACAGGTGCATTTTTTATTTTTTTGTCTTTTTTGAGACAGGGTCTCGCTGTGTAGTTCAGGCTGGCCTTGGGTTCACTTTGTAGCCCAGGCTGGTCTCGAACTCGCAGCGATTCTCCTGCCTCACCCTCCTGAGTGCTGGGATTACAGGCGTGCACCACCATGCCCAGCTAGAGAGCCAACTTTAGTTCGGCCACTACGCAGCACTTGACAGTATACAGAGCTCCATGGTGGCCAGGTTCTGTCTGAGCTTTGCACAGACCTGCACAGAGACAGGGCTGGTCTTTCCAGTCCTGAGGCTTTGGACGTGGAGGGGGCTTATGCAAGAAGGCCCCAGCTGGTGTGCAATGAGCCTGTCCTCCATCCCTTGTCAGGCCTGAGCTCCCTTGGGCCTGTTCTATACCCTACCCTTGGGCCATGACCATCTACAAGGTACAGAAGCGGTGCTGTTCCTTGGGGTCCCCGTTCCCTGGGATGGCAGACTTGAGGTGGTGACTTGGATTCAAACCACCCACTGTGGCCGCTGACTGTGGCTATAGCTGGTGGCCCCACATATCTGGGTTCTGAATCCCACCACTGGCCTTAGGTCTCTCAACCTCTGATTTCTTTGCCCCTATTTTCTGGTCTCTCTGAAAGCAAGCTCTTCTGGCCCTTGTACCAGTGAGCTCATAGAAAGCCCAGGAACATTGCAGGCCCTCCCAGCCCGGCGTCCTTGGAAATGACAGAACCCAGGCCCCAGGCCCCAGGCCTAGTCTGATTCCCAGCTCTGTGTCCTCTTGTTGTCATTGGCTCCCTCACACTCCCCCCACCCAGTGTCCCTCCTGCTGCTACCATCCTCTTTACATGACTTTCAGCTCTTTCCCTTGGGCACATACAGGCAGACAGCAAATTACAGGGCCATCCCAGCCTTACCTACCCTTGTGGGTATGAGTTTGGTGTGTTCTATCATTACCTTCCTTCTGACACAGGAGAATAAAAACTCCCAGCCTGAATGATATCTGGGATGAGTTCATGCTCTCTAAAATTGAAGAATGAATTTTAGGAACAACAGAGGTTAAGAGCAGAATATATTTACTGAGGGAAAGAAAGCTTCTGTTCAAGAGAGGGACAGAAGGAGGGCTCGAATGGGTTGCCCAAGACCCTGTCTTTCCTAGGGACTTTTATAGAGCAAAACCACGGGGTCCAAGGTAGGGGAAAAATGGACAAAACTATGGTCAGCCAGTAAGAATTGTTCAGGTAAAATTGATTAAATTGGGATCAAATGGGGAAGCGAGTCACGTAGCAAGTAGGCATGAATACAGAACAGGTGCTTTCCTGTAAGGGGTTGGGTCAGTGAGTCTTCAAGGTGATCGCTATCTATTTAGAATATCAATCCCTGATGTCCATCCCTAGGGAGGTATGTGGGTGTGTTTGTTTAATCTTTTGTCTTGAGATCTGGCCCACAGCAAATACGTATCTTATCTTTCATATTGGCTCCTTTGAGGGCCTGGCCCTGTCTGACTGCCTGTAATATTTCCATCTAACTCAGCTGCCTATAACACTTCCATCTTCATAGCTTTGTGTGGCGGGGAGGTACTGGGGATGGAAACCATCGTCTCGTGTGTTAGACAAGTGGTTGGTCTATTACTGAGCTATACCCCCAGCTTAATAACTTAAAAATAAGTGTATATTTATTTTAAAACTAATACATGCACTTAAGAAAAACAGAGACACACAAAAAGTGGAGAGCGAAATTCCAACCTTCACACTGAGAAGCAGCTGTGTGTCCACCCATGTTCTCCATGGATGTGGTGGGTGTACATGCTGGTCCACTTCTATGAGGAGAAGGGATGCTGTCCCCCCTGCTCCCACCTCATGACTTGAAGATGCTGACACGCAGCCCTCCGGTGTGTTTGCCCCACTCCAGCACCCTCCACCTTCTTGCTGTTCAGCCAGAAATGTGCAATCAGCCGGATGATCCCTGATGACCAGCACAGCCCAGACCTCATCCTGCCTTTGCACGGCCTGAGGAATGTCAAGGCCATCGACTACGACCCGCTGGACAAGTTCATCTACTGGGTGGATGGGCGCCAAAACATCAAGCGAGCCAAGGATGACGGTTCCCAGGCAGGTGCACTCATAAGACGGGTAGGGGACACTTCTGGGTAGAGCTTGCCTGGTGACCTCTAGGCTGCCACCTCTTTTGCTGGGGGTGAGGCAACCTGAGCAAGGTTTGAGGTCAGGGTTCTGCTTATGTAACTGTAGGGTGTGAGTCTGGGTAGGTGAACCCTGGAATGCAATCAAGTGATTAAGTGTAGAAACCGGATTTCCCCATGGTTGGGGTAGTCACTGGGGGGAGGGAGGGGTCAAGTCCCCTGGGATTTCTTTTCTTTTCCAAGGTAGTTTTGTATTGTGCAGGAGTAGCCAGTAGTGGGTACTGCAGATGGCTCCTTTGCTTCATAGGAAATGTATAATCAGTTCTGCTGTAATGCAGTCCATGTGTTCCTTGTCACCACATTGCAGAAATCATGCAACAGAAACAGGGTTTGTAGTTGAAAGAGGGAGTTGGGCGTGACTCTCAAAAGCTTCAGCCGTGACCTATGAAAAACACTGGGAAGGTGATGGGTACAGGAGCTCCTTTTGCACCCGTGGTAATGCACACATAGAAACAGTACATTAAGCCTGGCAGGTAGGGACCTGAAATTGGCTTCAACACGTGGGTGTTGGAGTGGAGCGGTGCAGCTTGTGAGCTTCTTGTGAAATGGTGGGAGGAGGATTGTGTGGAATGGGCTGGAAAGTTCCTGCCCCAGGTGTGGTTGGGTGTGGCTCGCAGCATGTGACTGCAGCTGTTCACCTTATTGGCTTCCTGCCAGGTGATGGTTTCTGCATTTATTTGTGTTTCTCACGAATGAAACCATACATAAGCGAATGGAAACTCTGGGTTATGCTCAGATTGTCCCCTGATGTAATACTGCCTCAGGACAAATTTGCATGTTCCAAACAAGCTGCTAGCAGAACTGGCCACTACAGTGGCAAGTGACCTGCCCCAGGAAGGACTCCCTCACATTTGTAGGTATGCTTGGCTCCGGGTGCCCATTTCAAGTGACTCCTTCTACAAATGGTCCCCTTCTTGATGTAGCAGTCAGTGTAACGGCTTATGTCACGGTGGTGAAATCTTGGTGGCTTTATAACAGTAGTGCAGAGGAGCGCTTGGGCGTAGGGATTTTCCAATGATTTTCAGTGTCATTGATTTCTCCTTTTGCTCCCTGAGCTGGAAGCCAGCCCCGCCCACACAGGCTGGGTCTCCTTTTGGACAAAACACTTCACCTGGCAAGTTTCCCTCTCGAAGTTGGAGGCCTGTGTCCTGTTGTGGGTAAAGTCAGTGAGTTGCACCCTACACCCGGCCAGCACTTTCCTCCTGGGCAGCTGTGATGACTGGCTCTGTGGAAATGATGGATATGGTCCCTTTCATCTGGCTGGGTGCAGGTGACAGTCACTTGAGTGCTTTGGAGAGTAGGAAGTGCTAATTAAAGGACTGTAGCTTCCTTGCTGAGAAAGATCCTAGGCGCAAATTGCATTAAAGTCCCCTTAAAGAGAAGTTCTTTGTGGTGTCCAGGCAGTGGTAGGTGGGTGACAGGAGGATGACAGACTTTGAAGAGGAAGTGGAGAGGGGATGATTTCTGGGCCTATTTCATTTCCCTTCTCGTGCCTCTTGCTGGCAGTGCCAGGCCCTCTGGGGCTCTGACTTCGATTTTTTAATTGGGGTCCCTCCACTCCTACACCAAGGGTGATGTTAAATTGTTATCTACTTGACTAAGGTTTTGTTTTGCTTTCCATTAATTTCTACTTTTTATTGTGATAAATGTGTGTAATATAAATTTTATCATTTTGCTGGCCATGGTGGTGCAGGCCTATAATCCCAGCACTCAGTAGGCTGAGGCAGGAGGATTGCCATGAGTTTGAGTTCAGCCTGGGCTACATGGCAAGACCCTGTCTCAAGAAAAAAAAAAAAAAAAACTAAATAAATTTTATCATTTAAATCATGTTTAAGTGCACAGTTCAGGGTTAAGTACCTTCACACTGCTGTGCAGACATTACCACCCTCCACTTCAGAACTTTTTCATTTCTAAACCGTAGCTCTGGGCCGGAGATACAGCTCAGTGGCACCTGCCTGGCAAGTGCGAGGTTCTGAGTTCAATTCCCAGTACCCACAAAAAAACAAAACAAGACTAAAAGAAGTAAACTGTAGCTCTGTCCCCATTAAACACTGGCTGCTGTCTCTGTCCTCAGCCCCTGGCACTACTATCCCACTTTCTCTCTCTGTGGGCCTGATAACTCTAGGGACCTCACAGAAGTAGAATCCTGCAGAGGTGTCTCCCTGTGACTGGCTTATTTCACTTAGCATACAGTCCCAAGGTCCATGCACCGTGGAGCAGCGCCAGAGCCTCCTGACTCTCCTATGGCTGAGTAACATCTGGTCGATGGATGCACCACGTTTTGCCTATCTGTTTATCCATCCATGGTCTCTGGGCTACTTCCGCCTCTTGTCTTTCAACCCTGCTGCTGTGCATGTTTCTTCCTGGGTTTTCCATACCAGTGAGGTAAAGGGATAGTAACTGCAGGGTTGACTAGGAGTCTCATAAGAAATTGTACAATAACCTAGGTGTTGTTTCTTATGTTAACATTGAAGCTGAGTAGGAAACCAGCCAGCTGTGTGAAATTTGCTGCCTCCATTTTGTCTGCCTAGGGAGGGTGAGGACAGCATGTCCTTCCCCTCTGCTGCTTTTGCAGGAGGTTGTTCTGATGAGTGGGGTCCCGAAGTCTAGTTGTGCCCTGGGGCCTGATTCTGGCCAAGACTAGCTGGAATTGTGCTTCTCTTCTGGCCATGAGCTGTACTAGGCTGAGGTCCCCAACTGGAAAGCTCTGTGGCTTCAGGGAAGGAGCGTGCCCGCCAGAGTTGGTGCTGGCTTCCCCGTGCCAGCAGCTTGGTGGGATATGGGTGTTAACCTGCCAAGACCCATGATCCCTTAAAGTGGCACTTCAGGTTCAGATGAAGCAATTTGCATGCAGCTGCTCAGCAAGGCTGGGCCAGAGTTAGGGTATGTGTACCCATGGGGGTGGGTGTTCTTTCCATCTGGGTCCAGGAGGCTGGGCCTGGGGAAGGGCTTGTTTTTGACTTCAGGCCCCTCTTGCCACGTGTTTGTTACCTGCTGGAAGCAGTAGACAAAGTCTGAAATGCTCCCTGCGCTTGGAGTGTTAGCCTTGGACCCCACCCCTAGGTCTCAGAAGGCACAGGGGACCAAGGTGCCTCCCAGGGAAGGGAGCTTTCATCCATACCATCAGCTGGAGCAGCCCTGGTGCTCCAAGCCCCCTTTGTCCCAGGTCACTGAGAACCCAAATCCAGGTGGCTTTTAGGGTAACTCAGGAAGACCAGGTGCCCCAGGTTCTGGTAGGGGGCAGATAAGGGTGCTTCTGGGTTCGCCGCTCCTCCTCCATCAGGTCTGTGGGGCCTCTTTGGAGGGATTCTCAGTCAGGGGCTCTAGGAACCAAGGCCGGTCCCTGAGCTGCAACAGTGACACAGGCTCAGGCCACGTTATTGGGAGACTCTCCCGGTGCACCCTGGGAATGGTGGAGAGGGGAGAGGCATCAGGAGCTGCCTCCTTGCAGTGGGGGTGTGGGTCATCCCACACCTGTCCCATACTTCTCCCTGCCTCGCACACCTCACTTCCCCGAACCTTAACCTGCCCTGCATGCTCCCCTGGCCCTGCACCCTGGGCCTCTTTCTGCCAGGGGAGAGGATCATGAGAGTTGGACTGGTTTCCATACCTACTGTCCTGGCTCTCTTTGAAGAAATACAAGATTTGAAGGTTTTTAAGCCAAAAGCCACAAGTCCTAGAAAGTGGAAAAGAAGAGCAAAGTGCCTTGAGAGAGGCCGTGGTCCTGCAACTTTTCTGCTGACAGGCAGCTATGATCTGATGGTAGTCTGGGGGTGCACAGCTGGAACCCTCTAGCCCATTCCCTCCTAGGGAGTGGAGTTCAGGGATGGAGTCCAGGGTCAGGCCAAGACCTCTGGAGACTGGCTTCCGGATGAGGCTCTGCACACCCTGGTATGCATGTGGTTAAGAGTTGATCAGAGAGGAAATGACCCCGAACCGAGCTGGAATTTTGTCTTTCAGACTAAACTCAGGACTATGTCCTCCCTGGAGCTGTCTCTGGCCAGTACTGAAGAGTCTCACAGGGCTGAATTTTGGTCTTTTCCTGTCTCACAGGCCTTTGTTCTGACCTCTCCGGGCCAAAGTCCAGACAGGCAGCCGCACGACCTCAGCATCGACATCTATAGCCGGACATTGTTCTGGACTTGTGAGGCCACCAACACCATCAATGTCCACCGGCTAGATGGGGACGCCATGGGTGTGGTGCTCCGGGGGGACCGAGACAAGCCAAGAGCCATCACAGTCAATGCCGAGCGAGGGTAGGAGGCTGCCACAGTGGCTGGGTGGGCCCTATGTGGGATGAGGCTGCTGCACCGTGCTGAGCATACAGCCCTTCTGGGAACACTGGCTTTACAGAGCCTTTGGGGAGGGGTTTTCTGCTCCAGTGTTCCCATCAGCAGCTCTGCAGGACCTCAGCCTCAGCAGTCAGTAGGGACAGAGGCACACAGTCAGCCATAGCTGCAGTCAGCAGCAGGAACCCCTGGAGCAGGCTTAGCCAAAAGTACATGCCAATGGGAGGTGGGTAGTTTTGCTAAGGGACATAGGGAAGAGGAAGACTAAAAAGACGATCAGAAGATGTAGGGTCTAAGCCGGGCATGGTGGTGCACACCTGTAATCCTAGCACTCGGGAGGCTGAGGCAGGAGGATCGTTGTGAGTTCGAGACCAGCCTGGGCTACAAAGTGAGCTCAAGGCCAGCCTGAACTGCACAGCGAGACCCTGTCTCAAAAAAGACGAAAAAAAAAAAAAAAAAGATGGGGGGAGTCTGACTTGTGGGTCTTGTACAAATCTGTCCAAGCTGGAGGCTTACTCACACATGTCCCACCTTGGGTCCCCAAACCCTCTGATAGATGAGGAGGAACCCAGGATGTCATAACAGGCTTAGAGGTTCCTTGTGCTGGGACTGAACCCAGGGCCTTGTACATGGTAGACATACACTGTACCCCTGAGCTACACCCTCAGGCCTTGCTTGGAGGTTCCTAATGGGAATAACCAGGGCAAGTGGAGATCTCTAGTCACGTGGTATGCAGCTCAGAAACAAAACTGAGTATGAAAACGCTTGGGACAGGAGCACCTCTGGGCTCACGTACAGGGCTTAGACTTACCGAGGCACCGCATGGTAGAACTCATCCCCAGGATGACTGGAGCAATCACCGGTTCTGGGGCAGGGACACCTGAGTTCAAGTGCAGACTCTGGTACTTACTACCTGGTGACCTCAGGTGGATAATACAGCCCTCAGAACCTGAGTTTCTTTGTCTTTAAAAAGTGTGGAGGGAAGTAGTGCCAGGCCCGGCGGCACACAGAGGGTGCCGAGTGGAAGCCCCTGCTTGAGCTGGAGCAAAGTGAGCCGGCCTCAGGGAGGCAGGGACTCCTTAGCAGTTGTGCCAGGTGTGGATTAGTGTTCTTGGCTGCTGTAAGAAAGCAGAAGGTTCCAGGGGGGCTTAGGACAACAGACATTTATTCTTGCATAGTTCCAGAGGCCAGAAGCAGGGCCCACTCTCTCTGAAGCATCAGGGGACAGTCTTCCTTCCAGCTTTGGTGGCTAAAGGGATTTGATTTGTGTCAGTTCACTTTGGTCTCTGCCTCCAGCTGCACATTGTCTTCTGCATGTCTGTGTGGCCTTCCCTGCCTTTTGCAGGACACTCATTGGATTTAGGGCCCACCCTAACCCAGCATGGTCTTACCTTGATCCTTAGTTACCTTTGCAGAGATGCTGTTTACAAATTAACTCACATTCTGAGGCTCGAGAATGGACATGAATTTTGGGGGGACACTGATGCCTTCAGTACAGGGCTGACTTCTCATCCTCTAGAGCCGGGCCTGAGAGTCCAGGGCTGTTTGCCCAGATGCCTGCAGGGTCAGGAACTGGTTAACCCTTCTGTATACTTGGGTTCTAGCTGAGGACATGAGGCAGGGTGGTGGCAGGAGCTCCTAGTGCCTGTCTGTCACCTGCTTCCTCTGCCTGTTGTCTCCCATAGGTATCTGTACTTTACCAACATGCAGGACCGGGCAGCTAAGATCGAGCGTGCAGCCCTGGATGGCACAGAGCGCGAGGTCCTCTTCACCACGGGCCTCATCCGTCCTGTGGCCCTCGTGGTGGACAATGCTCTGGGCAAGCTCTTCTGGGTAGACGCAGACCTAAAGCGCATTGAGAGCTGTGACCTGTCAGGTGTGTGCTGTGAGGCTTTCCTGGTCATTGGGTTCCTTGGCAGCCCACAGGGGTGACCATCCTCTGAATATTCATCTGCCTTACTGCTTGTGGCAATAGCAGATACTGCCTTGTCCAGGACCTGCCATGAGCTGGCACTGTGCCAGGGCCCTTACATATCACGTATAATCCTAACCCTGTGAGTTCTCAAATGTGGGTCCCAAATGAGCCCCAGAGCTGGAACAAGTTGATGCTTGGAGGGGGGCTGAGGTCCAAACAATGTTTCTTTTAAAAAGAGGGGTGGCTGGGGGAGGGGGGACGCCAAACTTGCAGAGGCCAGTGACCAGGATCTAGTTTGGGGGTCCTATGGCTCTGACCCCAAGGCCAACCCTAAAGGAGCAGCCTGATTCCAGGAGATCTGCCCTAGCTTCTAACCCTGGTCAGAGCATGGACCCTACCTCCACCAGGCTCCCTGTGGTCCTCTTCTGGTGGTCCCAGCTCCTGAGGCCACTGCCACTCAGGGCCCCTTGTCCTTCTTGCAGGGGCCAACCGCCTGACCCTGGAGGACGCAAGCATCGTGCAGCCCGTGGGCCTGACAGTGCTTGGGCGGCATCTCTACTGGATAGACCGCCAGCAGCAGATGATCGAGCGTGTGGAGAAGACCACAGGGGACAAGCGGACTCGCATCCAAGGCCGTGTTGCCCACCTCACAGGCATCCACGCCGTGGAAGAAGTCAACTTGGAGGAGTTCTGTATGTCAGGGTGGGCAGTGGGATGGACAGGGTCCCCACAGGGAGGGTAGCATCTGCTCAGAGCACAGTGACCTCTGAAGTACCTTCCGGTGACAGATTAAGCCTGCATGACCCTCAGGAAGTGTGGGTTCAGCTGCGCACTGAACGTTGTCCCTGGGGCTCAGCATTGAAGGCCAGCAACTATCACATTTCCCAGCCTCTATGGTCATTTTCATTTGCTACAGAGAAATGACCACACACTTAGTGTTTCATACAGACTCACTCAGTATCTCAGTTCCATTGATCAGAACTCTGGGCCCAGCATGGCTCCGTGGGGTTCTCTGCCTGGGGTCTCGTGGGGATAGAATCAAAGTGTCAGCTGGGCTGGGCTCACAGCGGGAGGCTCTAGAGAAAAATCCATTTCCACATACCTGCTAGTTATGATGCCCATAGGACTGGCCCTGGTTTTTTTCTGCCTGTTTACTGGGTCTGCTCTCCACTCCCCGATGCCACCTCCCCGCCCCACCCTGTGGCCTTCTGTGTTAGTCAGCTCTCTGTCATAACAAATACCTGAGGTAAAGTATAAAAAGAAAAGTTTCATGTCAGTTTGCGGTTTGAGAGCCTTGGCCCCATTGCTTTGGGGTCTGTGGTGAACCCCACATTATAAAGGAGCACAGACACAGCAGAGCAAAAGTGCCAGGAATCAAAAAAGAGAGGAAGAGGAGGAGGCTGGGGTTCCACTCTCCCCTTCATGGGTGCACCCCCAATAACCTCAAGGCCTCCTACAAGGCCCCACCTCTTAAAGCTTCTACCACACTCTAGCTGCACCATGGACACATGAGCCCTTGGGGACCACTTAGCAAACCTCTGTCCTCTCCCCACCATCTGCAAGGGAGACACACCCATCAGTTTCTGTCATGCACTGAATCCCTCACTCCCTCTTCTGTCCACTGGGAAGCTGCTGTGCTTGCAGAGGGCTCTGTGATCAGATTTGCCTAGACTTCGATTAGTCTCCCCTTCAAGGAACTCAGTCAGCTGGTTAGTAACCTTAATCACACCCACAGAATCCCTTTTGCCATGTAAGGCCACAAAACCATGGGGCTGATAGTGCATCACATGCCCAGTGCTGGAGACTAGGGTGGGAAATTTGGGGACATTTGAGGATCCTGCCTCCCACTGCCTCACTTTGGCCACAGGCTTGGGAGAGAGGGGGACCCCAGCTGGGGCTTCTTTATTCTCCTTCTCCCTAGTTACATAGCTCTGTGTGTATGTAGGTGTATGTATAGGGCTGTATGTGGCTACCTGTCTCTCTCTTTTCTTGCCTTTTCGCCAGTGCTTATGGTCTCCCACCAGGCTGCTTGGCACTAGGACACAGCAGTGAATTCTGCAGTATCCATAGTCTGGCCACATGGTGGACTTAACCCGTCACCAGTGACAGGGACAGTGCCATCCTTCACATCTGCCACGTTCTGTGTCTTAGCCTTCTCTGCTCTGATGGCTTCACCCAAGGTCTCCTGGGGTTTCCTGTCCCCTCCTCTACAGTGCACTGTTGGTCAGTGGACCTGGTCCTCAGTTGAAACCAATGGGCGATGGGCTGGCTCCAGAGTCCAGCTGAGACCCATTCACTGCTCTCCACCTGGTTCCAGCGCTGTCTGCCATCACTGTAGCCTCCTTCCCGCCTCGCCGCTCCCTCTGTTGTCCCCTCAGTTCTAACGCTTGTGCCGCTGGTAGACTGGTCTCGTCCAAGATGCACTCCTGTTCTAGGGGTGCAGCTATTGCTGTCTCCACCCTGTTTGCCTCAGATTCACCGCACGCCCCAGGATCAAGGCCGCCCTGTTACACTGCGCAGCCCCTGACCTCAGCCCCTCAATGCTGTGCTGCTGCTCTCTAGTGTCCCTCTCGTTTTCTTTCCCTCTCCTCCACCAGAGCCCCTCTTGCTAATTCTTTTCCTCATAGGCTCAGGTGTTAGCTCTTACCCTTGCTCCCCCTTCTGTGCCTCAGACAGCTGAGGCATCCATGGATGTCCCTCCAGGGACATATGGGAAGCACATCAGCATTGTACTGGCCCCTTACACCATATTCAGCAAAGTCATAGATTCCTGCGTGCCATGGGCCTGCAGAATTAATGGATGTGCTCAGAACAGTGAATACTAAGCCCACAGATATCTCAGCCCATTGCCCATTGGTTTCAACTGAGGACCATGCCCACTGATCAGCAGCTTATTGTAGAGGAGGAAATAGGAGACTCAGGAGACCTTGAGTGAGCTGCGATCAGGTTGAGCACTGGGGTGCCCTGAGGTGCTGATGCGAGATATCTAGGTCTCCTTGTTTGGGGCAAGGGCAGGAAATACTTAGATGAGTTCTTCTGTGTTGGCTTGGGGTGTAGGCTCCCAGCCTACTTCCCCATGAGATCCCATAACTGAGCTCTAAGCCATGACTGAGCCCATTGCAGCCCATAGCCAAATCCAGTCTGTTGCCTGGTTTTGTAAATAAATTTGCACACGGCCCTGTTAATCCACACAGGCCATCTGTGGCTGCAGCTAGCAGATTGAGTGGTTGTGAGACCAGTTGGCCTGGGAAGTAAAAATGTCTTTACAGCTTTACAGCTCTTTACAGAAAAAGTTTGCTGATCTCTGCTCTCAGCGCTAACACCTGTTGTTTTTAACACCTAATCCTTGAGGTGAGGGCGTGTTTAAGTTACCTTTCTTGTTGCTGAGACAAAATACTATACTTGATACTCACACTTAAGAGATTTATTTTGACTCACATTTCAGTCTATGGACGACAGGCTGCTGAGAATAAACTGTGTGGCAGAGATGCGTGGCAGAGGCAAAGCTGCTTGCCTCATGGCAGAGAGGAAGCTGAGGGAATGGAGGGAGGAGCCAGGAAGGAAGGCACACACTTCCGGTCATGCCCCCAGTCACATCCCCTCTTCCAAACAGACTTCACCTCCTACCAAGTCAGCTGTACACCCCATAATCCAGTCAGCTTCCAAAAGCCCCACCTGTGAGCACGTGAGACCCTTGGGGGACCTCTACATATAAATCGTAAAAGGGTGAGACATTGTGCTATTTTTCTGGAGGGGGTAGGAAGGGAAAAGAGGGTCCCCTGTCATTTCTTCTCTCCTTGGGGTGGGCACCTAGCCTCCCGGCAGCCTTCTTTCCTCTTTGTGGTTCAGGCGTTGGTTGCATCCAGTTCACTGCATACATGTGCGCGTTTCCCGGGACCCTGGTGCCTTTGTCATTTTAGTGTGTGCTAGCACCTCTGGCTGCTGTAACAAGTCCATCCAATTGAATGACTTAAATACCAGTCAGCATTTATTCCAGAGTTCTGCAGGCCAAAATTCGAAGATCAGTGTGTTGGCAGGATCGCGCTCCCTCAGGAGATTCTCAGGGAAGATCCGTGCCTTCCCCCTACAGTGCTGGTAGCTGCCGGTGTTCTCTGGTCTTCGGCCTCCATCCTCGTCTTCCTGTGGCCATCTCTTCTATCTCTTCACCTCTTCTGTCACCTCTTTTCACTGCACCCCCAGCACTAGGCACTGAACCCAGGGCCTTCAATGTGAGCTACATCCTTAGTCCTTTTTATTTAATTTTTAATTTTGACAGTCTCACCAAGTTGCTAAGTTGCCCGTACTGGGTTCAAACTTGCAGTTCTTGTGCCTCAACCTTCTAGAGTGCTGCTATTACAGGCGCACGCCACCAAGTCACCTCTTGCAGTAACCCTTGTCATTGGACTTAGGACCGATGCAGATCACCCAGAATGACTTCATCTGGAGAGCCCTTTCCTCAGTTCCATCTGCAAAGACTCATTTCCAAATGAGATCATACTCCCAGGTTCTAGGGGTTCGCACATGGGCGCAGCTTTCATGAGGCACCATTTTACCCACCATAGCATGAGGGTGCAACACTTGGGCAGTGTAGAGTGATGGCTGTGGGCAGTGACTTAGGGACTGGTGTAGATGAGCAGGCTGGTGACATCGATCAGGACCTGTAACTACTTCCTGACTCCATTTTTATGTCAGTAGAAATAAACTGTATAGGCTGCTGAGAGGATCATGTGGGAGGATCTCCTGGAGGAGAATGACCCTCATCCCTTCCACCCTTCATGCCGCAGTCCTCACCCGCCCACCCTTCATTTTGTTCCCGCAGCGGCCCACCCCTGCGCCCGAGACAACGGTGGCTGCTCCCACATCTGCATTGCCAAGGGTGACGGGACACCACGGTGCTCATGCCCGGTCCACCTTGTACTCCTGCAGAACTTGCTGACCTGTGGCGGTAGGTGTGACTTTAGCACTTTCTATTGGGACTTTAATTCTATCTGCCAGGTTGCTGCCTGGCATCCTTTTAAAATTGTATCTGGGCCTGGTGTGGTGGTGCCCTCCTGTAATCGCAGCAGTTGGGAAGCTGAGGCAGGAGGATCATTGCAAGTTTGAGACCAGCCTGGGCTACAAAGTGAGCTCAAGGCCAGCCTGAACTGCATAGCGAGACCCTGTCTCAAAAAGACAAAAAAAAAAAAAGAAATTGTAGTCCCTGTGGGTATCCAATCCTCACAGTCTATTCTCTCTTCATTTTTGTATTCATCTGTAAAACACACTCCTGTATACATATGCATACACACATATACATGCATTTAGTGCTCTGAATTTCCCTATAAGCACTGCTTTTTCTGCATCCTACAAATTTTGATGTTATTTTCTTATTTTCATATAGTTCAGATAGTTTTAAAATTTCTCCTGAGACAATTTCCTTGTTCCATGTGCTATTTAGAAGTACGTTGCTCAATCTCCAAATAGTTGGGAATAGTTCGGCCATGCTTTTGTTACTGATCTCTAGTTTAGTTTCTTCTTGGGAAGAGCTTACTTTGTATGTTTATATGCTTTGAAGTTTACTTAGTTTACTTGTGCTTTATGGCCCAGCGTGGCCCATCTTGGTGAATGTTCCAGTGTGCACTTGAAGAGAGTGTGGCTTCTGCATTGCGGGCTGGACTGTTCTGAAAACCCCATTAGATCCAGGTGAATGATGATGCTGTGCGGTCATGTGTATCCTTCCTGAGTGCCTGTTGCCTGAGTTGCCAGTTGCTGACAGGGCTGCTGAAGTCTCCAGCTCTTTTAAGAGTGGCTTTGTCTATCTCTCCTTACAGTTTTTTCCTTCCTCCTACCTTCTCTATCCTTCTTTCCCTGGAGCACATGGTAGTGTTGGTAGTCAAGAACATGAACGTTAGGGTTAGGCAGACTTGGGTTCAAATCCCAGTCCTGGGACTTGCCAGCTGAGCACACCCAGGCTGATCACTTGCCCTTTCTGAGTCTCCACTGAAACTGAGAGCTGACCTGGCACTTTGTTGTAAGTTTTAAGTAGCAGAGCAGGCTGTGTGGCCCCTGACATGTGGCATGTGGAAATACCAGGTGCTATGTCATGGGGGTGGCTGTCATAATAAAAGTGACAGTCTTCAGCTATACCAGGCTGAAGTCTGACCTCCAGGTGGCCTTGGTTGTGTCATTTGTGTGTTGACCTGTTTCCTTCATCTTCTCTGAGCTCCTGGGGATCAGGCTTCACCCCTGGCTCAGCCTCACCCAAAACTCAGGGGACTCCAGCTCAGAACGGGAACACCTGCTCTTTCAGCAGCTCGTTCTTCTCCTGGAGAGACTGGCCACTGCCCATGTGCTTGAGGATGGGACTTACACAGGGTCAGGCCTTCTGGAGATTTCTCACACCTGCCTCACACCTTGAACCTCAAAAGAGCTTGGTGCAGAGCTGCAGGGACACTTTGTGGCTGGATACTCTCTGAGCTCCTGGACAGCTCTTCCCCAAGGTCCAACCTAGGGTTCACATCCACTCATGGCCTGAGTGCATCAGACTGCAGCTCCCACAGATGCCTGAATCCCTGCAGCAGCTGTGGGGAGAGCCACACGGACCCATCTCCAGGCCCGCATGTAGGGGATGCACCCCTCTGCCACTCCTGCACCAAAACCTTCCCACAGCCCGGGAGATGTACATTTACTATGTACTTTTCAGTCTTCTGTGGCCACTTTTCTGGGAAGAGCACAAGAAGAGAAGGGCCTGCCATGGTTCTCAGATGGGAACCTTGCAAAGCAGCAGGAGCCAGGTCAAGATGTGGCCCATATTATGTCAGTGTTCTGGTAGCACTACTATTCTTGCTGCTTGAGCCCTTCCCCAGCCAGGTGACTTTGCCTCCCACCCAGTTACTTCTCATGTGGTACCTGCAGCATGCTGTGGCCACTGGGTTTGAGAGATGAGGCAGTGGAGGTTCTGGGAGATCAGGAATGTCCTGCCCTTTACCTTTACCTTTCAATCTTCACTGCCTGGACTGTGGGTCCCCAGCAGGCAGACCCTCTTCTTCTTGGTCAGCATCTGTGAAAGCAGCAATGTCCCCAGGCTTCTGATCCTGGCAGGTTCTACCTTAGCTCAGTCCAGTGGGCACAGCCAGGATTTTGTTTCCTGAGAGCTCTTATCTTTGTTCAGGTCCCTCTTCCACCTCTCATCCCTGGATGAACCCAGCACTTATGGGGTATCATCTGGAGTCTAGATGTGCAGAACTTGCATGCATCATGGCTGTTCTTGCTTTGCTCGGATTGCAGGTGTGTGGAGGACTGTTGTTGAACATTAAAGTAACATGCAGACTCTCCCCGTGTTACCTTCCCGCGGGCCAGTCTCAGCTAGTTTTCTGTCATTTTCCATATAGAGGAGGGGAATTCTGGAAACCAGGGGCACGTTCTCTGCTGGTGCTCTGCTCCTGTGCCTTGTCTGTGCCCTGGCACCATGCACAGTGCCATTTACTGTGTGCCCAGCTCTAACTGGCACTTGGCCTGAGTGGAGGATGTTGCTTCAGTTTAGGTTAGTTAAGCTGGAGAGTGTCCCCTACACCTAGGAGAGACATAAGATGGAAGGAAAAGGCTGGGAGTGCAGCTAGGTGGTAGAGCGCCTGCCTAGTGTGCACGAGGCTCTGGGTTCCAGCCCCGCACCACAAAAAGAGAGAACTGGAGCGAGGGGAGGAAACAAAGGAAGGTTTAAATACTTACACGTCCGAAGGGAGTGTCCCTTCTACCACACAGAGGTCAGGAGGACAGGAGAAGAGAGAGAGCGGATGCATGGGCAAATGGCTTGAGTCCAGGGCGTTATCTAAACAGGTTTCCCTTGGGGAGTCTAACTGGTGAGCTTAAAGCAAGGAGGCACGGGTCCCAGGAGGCCACACTGAGGGAGAGACAAGCTCAGTTGCCTATCTGCACAGTCATGCAGGATGTGGGGTCAATGGGGCAGTCAAACAGGCGTCATATAACTGTCCCGAAGGGAGGTGGTCACAGGGGTGGTTCTATAGGACGGACATCTGGGTTACTGACAGTGACAAATGGAGTCAGGGAACCCAATTGAGCTCCACTTCTGGCGTGACAAAACTAAGGTCCTATTCAAATGGACACAGCAGCAACCTAAAATGATAAGAGTTCACTCCAGTGATGAGTCCTGAGTGCTAGAGCGACTTCCATGGTCACCAGGAAAAAGTGGCCCCTGGTCCTCCCCCAGTACCACCCTCAGTGACCTCTGACCAGATGTCCCCATGCCACTCCTCCTGTGAGTGTCCTAGGCTCTCTGCTCTGCCTGTCCTTAGCCACTCCTCAGTAGGGCACTCGGTGTCATGACCGAGTTCTCCATCAGTACCCACCACGCTCTGGGTATGATGCCCCTGGGAAGGTCTCGACCACCTCCTCTGTCTCCGCACCGCCTGCTGTGCATAGTTACTCAGGCGTACCCAGGCTGGCGTGCCATGTACACCGGATCCATAGCCTGGCCTGGCGCCGTGAGGGCCGTGGAGGCTTGGGATGCCGAGCACTGGCACCTGGGCCCTCAGGGTGCCTACAGGGAGACCAGGACTGAGGAATGGCTGCCCCAGCTCCTCAGCAGTCGGGGCTGATTTTCCCATCTGCTGCCTGCTGTGTTGGATGTAGTGGCTGCTGCAATCACAGGTTTCTGTCAGCAAGGATCAGGATCTTGCAGCTCACATTTCTCACCCCTGCCGTGCCTCTTCTTGGGCTGGAGGTGGACAGTGAGCAGGAGACACAGCACTGGCAGCTGTGAGGGTACACAACCTGGCATAGCAGGGACCGGGGAGCTGGTGCCAGCTGGAGCCTGCCTTCTGCTTGGCAGCCCAGTCACACCCTGGCCAGGTTTAACAGGCAGTGTTGTGTGACCGTATTCTCTGTTCCGTCACCAGAGCCTCCCACCTGCTCCCCCGACCAGTTTGCGTGCTCCACTGGTGAGATTGACTGCATCCCTGGGGCCTGGCGCTGCGATGGCTTCCCTGAGTGCGACGACCAGAGTGATGAGGAGGGCTGCCCCGTGTGCTCGGCCGCCCAGTTCCCCTGCGCACGCGGCCAGTGTGTGGACCTGCGTCTGCGGTGTGATGGCGAGGCCGACTGCCAGGACCGCTCTGATGAGGCTGACTGTGATGGTGAGGCCCTGCCTTGGCTGCCTGCCAGCTACCTGAGTGGCTGCCACACGCAGGCGGTGCCAAAGCCACTTGCCTTGCCCTCCTGGACAGGGAGGTTGGGGCTTCATCGAGCCCCAACTGAATGCAGCTCAGTGGTTGAGCGCCTGCCTAGTGTGCACGAGGCTCTGGGTTCCAGCCCAGCACCACGAAAAGAGAGAAATGGGGTGAGGGGAGGAAACAAAGGAAGGTTTAAATACTTACCCTTCCGGAGGGAGTGTCCCTTCTACCACACAGAGGTCAGGAGCACAGGAGAAGAGAGAGAGCGGACCCGTGGGCAAATGGCTTGAGTCCAGGGCGTTAGAGGGACCGGGGAGCTGGTGCCAGCTGGAGCCTGCCTTCTGCTTTGCAGCCCAGTCACACCCTGGCCAGGTTTAACAGGCAGTGTTGTGTGACCGTATTCTCTGTTCCGTCTCCAGAGCCTCCCACCTGCTCTGTGGAGCACAGGAGCTCCACAAAACTTCCACCTGGAGGGAGATTACCAGATCCTCCACAGCCTGGGAGGGAAGGCAAAGTTAGCTTTAAGTTGAGCAGGGACCTGCTGCAGTCTGACCCCATCTGTTCACTGGGCATTTGACTCCAAGGCAGACTGAATGTGCCTCACCTCCCTGCATTCAGTCAAGAGTTTTGCAGAAGCCCAAGCTAAATCCCGTAGTTGGCTGCAGCTTTCCATGACTCACACTCGGGTAAACCTCCTTGCTAAACAGCAGCGCTGTATTCCACTGAGCAGGCTGTGGAATGATGCTTACTACCTGGGCCCACTCTCACCAACAGGGTCTTTTAGATCTTGAAAAGCATACTCTTTTATACTTGCTCTGAATTTCCCTTTGATAGGGAACCCACATGTCAGCACCATGGTCCCAGAACTGCTGCAGAACTGTGGTCACTCTTACTGCCTCTCCAGAAAGCACCAGGTCCTGTTCTTACCTAACTCAGGTGCTCTCTGGTCCTTGTCCTCCACCCTCCCTTCGTGATAAGCAAATGTTTTATAGATGAGGGCCTGGGAGTAATCTGTAAAGTCAAAATTAAGTCTTTGCAGCTCACCAACCCTCTGAGAATTTGGTAGAGGCTGTGGACCACAGGACAAATCTAGCCTGCTGCTTACTTCTGTAAATAAAGCTTCACTGGCATCAGCCAAGCCCACTCTTACTCATTTACATATCAGCTGCTCTCATGCTAAAACAGGAGAGCTGAGTAGTTGGCCACAGAGCCTAAGAACTCACTACCAGGTCCTTTATGGGAAGGTCTGCTCAGGAGCCCTGGCCTAGCAGCAGCTTTTGGCCAGGATGTCAGGATCGTAGGAGCTCTTCTTAGAAGCCATGTCTCTCTCTCTTGCCACCCTCCCATGCTCTTCTGGGTGTGGGATTTGGCACCAGTGGCAGGCCTCCTGTAAGCTCCCACTCAGTGCTTCTCCCTGCTCAGTCACCAGAAAGTCATCCCTTCCTCGAGGGAACAGGGCCCTTGTCTCCCGTTCCCAGGGCAGATACCTGGAGCAGGACAGGTGGTGGGGAGTCAGAGAGGCTCGCTGTGCTGGGTGGTGCTCGAGCCCTAGCAGCTGCCTTCCTAGCAGCGCCATGGATACTGCTGGGCTGCACAGCTCCCTGCATGGGCTGCTTCTGCCTTCTCAGAGCTCTGCTGTGCACCCCACCCTCTGCTGTGCACCGCACCCTATGTGCATTAGGGAGGTGAGGCTTTTCTTGGAGGCATGTCAGGACTGCGTGCTACCAAATTCTCAGGCTACCCCAGTAGCCTGATAAGACCTGGGGGCAAAGGCTATCACCCTTGCTCTGTGCAGGCCTGCCCCATGGTAATGTACAACAGATACCTCCTGGGGGGAGGTGGGCCTTTGAGGTCTGCTCCCTGCCGGGCCTCACATTGGCATTGCACAGAACTTGGGACAGGGTCATGGGGTGGTAGAGACTGGATTTGCCATGACCACTTTGGTCCTGTCCTGGAAAGGGGTTTGTGGCTGGGCCTTTTGGTGGGGGCAAGGCCAGAGGTGCCGGTGACCCTTTGGCCTCCCTGAACTTGCGGCCCCTCCTCACAGCTGTCTGCCTGCCCAACCAGTTCCGGTGTGCCAGCGGCCAGTGCGTCCCCATCAGGCAGCAGTGCGACTCCTTCCCTGACTGCGTGGATGGCTCCGATGAGCTCATGTGCGGTAAGCCAGCTTCTGGCAGGGATGGGGTCGCCCCACGCAGGGGTCCCCCACAACAGTGTGGAGTCTTGAGAGGGAGGCAGCATCCAGAGGGGAGACTGAGCTGTGGGGACAGAGGGCCTACAGGGACCCACTATAGAGTCTGCCTGGGTGGGGACCGGCCACGTAGAGGGCTGCCTGCAGCCATGCTTCTGCCGTGGGGGGCTCACTTTGTAGCATCTGTCCTGGGGAAGCTTGCGCCCCACAGTCTGAGGAGGAGCAATGTGCGTATGCTTCACATACACATCACACATCACGTACACAGCACACGTCTCACACATTTGTATCATGTACACCTCTTCAGGGGCATGACCTGCGCAGTGAAGGGTGCAGGGATTAGAAGACGGGTGGCCAGGGCAGTCAGGGAAGGCTTCCCGGAGGCTGTAGCTCTTGAAAGTCTGATCCAGACAGGATGAGAGCTGGAGTCCTAGACAGGAAGTAGGAATCTGTGGGCATGTCTGGGAACACGCTACTCCATCTACTTCAGGGGACCTGGGCTGAGAGCTCTGAAACAGGAGGGAGGGAATCATGGGGGTAGGATGCAGATTTTCCCGTGGAGTTCCCTAACTCTGGGGGCCCTTCATATCAGCCTAGGTCAGGCACCTGGGGCGCCGTTTCTGGAGCACGGCCTGGGAGAGATGGCAGAGCCAGGGACTATTGGAGTCCCCTGCTCCTCCACTTGGCAGCTTTCCAGTCTGGGCACGGAGTGGGAGTCTGTGCTCAGGCCTTTCGTGTGACTGTGAGCTCCATCGTGCCAGCTGATGTGGGTCCCCAGAGCCAGCAGTGCTCCTCCCATTCCCCAGTGTTGGGGCTGCTGGGAGGGACATAGCTGACATCCTCAGGGTTGCTGGGCCAGCCAAAGGGAAGGTGAACATGAATTTACCAGTTGATCCTGGGTGCTGCACATGTCTTCCATGCTCTGGAGGCCTCAATGGTGGAGCGGCTGAGAGCCCACCCAGCAGACCCCCATCCCACACCCGTGGCCCGGTGGCAGCTCCACATACCTACCCTGCTCCAGGGGCCTCTCGGCTGACCTCTGTCACATGCTTGACACCTAGGCTACCTGGGGCACTCATCTCTGGCCACCACTGAGGGCCCCTGACAAGGACGTGTGTCTTAGTTACTTTTCTCTCATTGCTGAGACACAATACCCGACACCTAGAGTGAAAGAGGAAAGGTTTATTTAGTTCACAGCTTATTGAGGTTTCAGTCCATAATCGGCTGGCTCCAAGGTAGGGTGGTACATGGCAGAGGGGCAGTGATTCATGACAGAAGACAGCAAAAGCAACAAGAGACCCTAACAGTGTCTTCTGTCCCTTTATCTTATCCAGACTACCAGGACTAGGGCGGTCCCAAACTAATCAGTGGACTGATTTAGGAATCACACACCCTTAATCCCAACATCACACACTCTAGATCCAGCCACCTCTGAAAAAGAGCTGTGTCCCACCTATGACTGTATGAGGCTTTGGGGGACATCTAAACCCTTATTAGTGTATGTGTTTACAGGCTGTCAGAAAGGAGCGCAGGGCAGGGCAGTCAGGCAGAGGAGAGGAGGTGGGCATTCTAGCAGGCTGAGGAGTGGTGGGCAGAGGTTCAGGGTGAGTGTTGTCCCCAGACCCACCCCCTCCTTTCTTACACCCTTTCCCATGGGTGCTAGGGCTAGGGTAGAGCCGGCCCCTTCAGGATACCCCACAGGAGGCCCATCCCTTGGGGGTTGACATGGGCCATTTTTCTCCCTTGTCCTCTGGCAGAAATTACGAAGCCGCCCTCTGACGAGACCCCCGCCCACAGCAGCGCCATCGGGCCTGTCATCGGGATCATCCTCTCGCTCTTCGTCATGGGTGGAGTCTATTTCGTGTGCCAGCGTGTGGTGTGCCAGCGCTACGCAGGGGCCAACGGACCCTTCCCGCATGAGTACGTCAGCGGAACCCCCCATGTGCCCCTCAATTTCATAGCCCCGGGTGGCTCACAGCATGGTCCTTTCCCAGGTAAGGAGCCTGAGGTATGCACAGGCCTGGGCAGAGGCGGGGACGTGTCTGGGCAGGATGGTGGGAGAGGGATGCAGCTCTCGCGCTCCCCCTTGGGCGTGTGACAGTCATTGCTGATCAGTCACTGCACTTGGGCTTTCCTGCAAGCCCCTGCTTGGCATCAGCGTCCTCAGCGCAGAGTCTGCGTGCTACAGCCTGTCCTCTGGCACTGGAAGGGTAGGGAAAACTCCTTGGACTTGGCCTTCAACATTTTTGTAGGATGTTCCCTGAGTTATCCTCAAAAACATATGTCTCCTAGAAATGAAGATAGGGTGCAGCTGGGCTCTCTCTAGAGCCAAAGGAGCTGTTCCATGTGACAGGCAGTTTTGTGGACTGTGTGGACTTGGTGGGGCAGTTATACTTACAAGCTGCCTCCTTACCAGGAGTGCAAGTTATGTCCACAGATGCCCAGAGGGCCACACCACAAGGCTGAGCCCTGCTGGTTCACATTGGCAGCCATAGTGTGTCCAAGGGGGTAGGGTCAGTGGGTGCTGTGCCCTGTGGTGTCCCTGTGAGGGTAGAAAATCTGCCTGCAGCTCCAGGGCTACTGTGGGCATTGCTCTGGACCTGCCCATCCCTGGGTTCCCTCTCTCTTGTCCTGTTCCACCCTCTCCACCCCCACCAGGACTCTGGCATTTGGGTGCAGGAGTGATCCAATTCTCCCTGGAGTGGGGGGATGGGCTGGCAGGGGTTTCTCAAGAGCCCCTGGAAGCTTATGTTGGTGGCAGCCTGTCATACACTGTCATGCAGCCTTCAGGGAGGAGAACGGGCGCCAATCTGTGCCTGGCATGCTCCGAGCTGAGCCCCTACTGACCCCTGTGCCCCTCAGTGGGGGAGGTGCTGTGTGTCTCCCCATCTTATGGAGGAGACTCAAAAAGCACAAACTTGTGGTGGCCCAAGTGGCCTGCAGCAAGCAGGGAGTCTTGGTGACTTTTCTCTTGCTGCTGAGACAAAATACACAACACCCAAAATTAAGGAAGGAACAGTATATGTAGCTTGCAGTTTGTGGAGGTTTCAGTCCATACTCAGCTGGCTCTGAGGCAGGGTGGCACGTGGCAGAGGGGCGACAGTTCATGGCGGTGGAAGACAGCAAAAGCAGCAAGAGCAAAACGGGAGAGAAGATTCTTTCTGTTCTTTATATTGTATGCAGGCTGCCCACCCTAGGGTGGGTGTAGCACTCACACCCCCAGTCCCAGCACTAGAAAATGAACCCGTCATAAACTCTAGATTCAGCTACCTCCGAAAAGGACCACCCCCATGATTGCATGAGACCTTGGGGGGACATCCAGACACAAACCATAACACTAGGACATGTATCAGATAGGACTTCCCACCCAATCTGGATCTCTGGGGGAACAGGAGCAGAACCAGGGGTTGTGTCTGACCCACCTTGTCCCCTCCCTGGACAGGCATCTCCTGCAGCAAGTCCATGATGAGCTCTGTGAGCCTAATGGGGGGCCGGAGTGGTGTGCCCCTCTATGACCGGAACCACGTGACTGGGGCCTCGTCAAGCAGCTCGTCCAGCACAAAAGCCACGCTGTACCCACCGGTGAGTGGGGTGGGGGGACCCGCTCTGGCCTCTGTATCAGTGCTGGCTGGGGAGCCTTCCTGGGACCTTAGAATTTCTAGACCTAGTCTACCATGGAAAGGAATGGTGAGGTGTTTGACTTCCCTATGCACACCCTCTTGGCTCTTTCTTTAATGGTATTGCTTCGTTTAGCAAATTCTTGTTTGATCTGGGCAAGGTGGTGCACGCCTGTAATCCCAGTACTCGGGAGGCTGAGGCAGGACGATCTTAGTGAGTTCAAGGCTAGCCTGAACTACGTAGAGAGACCCTGTCTCCAAAAACATAAGAAAAAAAAAAAGGAAAAAAGAAAATCCTTGTTTATTGTGGCCAGTCTGGAAACCACCTAGTAATATGCAGAACTGAAAACTTATCCCTACTTGTGCCTGGAAGGGCTGCTCCAAGTGTCATCTTGGTATCTGGGTGTTGGTCTTGCTTTGCACCCTGGTCTTTCTCTGCAGGGCCCAAGCCCTCCATGCTGCCTTGCTGAGTCTGTCTAGCCTGTGAGCTTCCTGTCAACCTCCCTACCAGGATCACCCTGCATTCCCACCCTAGACCTTGCTGATTCCCAGAGATGGGCTGGATTGCTTCCTCAAGAATAGACACAGGGTCAGGCTGGGGATTTAGCTCAGTGGCACAGCACCTGCCTGGCAAGCGCAAGGTCGTGAGTTCGATCCCCAGTACTGGAAAAAACAAAAAACAAAGAAAGAAAGAATAGACACAGGGTGCCGGGGATATAGCTCAGTGGCATAAGTGCCTGCCTGGCAAGTGCAAGGTCCTGAGTTTGATTCCCGGTACAAAAAAAAGAATAGACACAGGGTAATTTTTATGGCTAAAACACTCCCTGGAACTTTGGGCCACCCAATTCAGTGAGGGACTGGTCTAGAGAAAAGTGATCATAGAGTGAAGCATTAACAACCTCCTGGTCCCTGCAAAGGGCCCCTTCCCGAGGCTGGCTGGGAGAACCCTGTTTCTGAGAGCACAGCCTGAGGGTGCCCAGATAAGCTTGCTGCACATGTGGAAATGTGTGTACTGTGGTCCCCCCTCACCTGTGGGGACACATCCCATGATCCCCCAGTGCATGCCTGAACCCACGGGTAATACCAGACACACATACATTGTGTTTTTCCTATATACATCTAAATATGATAAAGTTAGTTTATACAGTAGGCACAGTAAGAAATTAGCAGTGACTAATAATAAACCAGAACAATTACAGTGATGTGCTGTAATAAGTTATGTGTATGTGGTCTATGTCTCTTAAGAGAGTCAAGACAAATACTAATATTTTCAGACTGTGGTTAACCACAGGTAGCTAAATCCACAGAACGCAAAACCACAGGAAGGGGGGCCACTGTGTTTAAACACTGGGGTCGGACTTTGCACACTCTGTAAGCCCTTTAGTCTTCCCAAACCCAAATCTTCCTGCAGCCAAATGTTCTTCTAAGGTGACAAGAGCTCCCCTCGAATCCCCCAGGTCTGTTCCCAGGGAGCCCCACCTTGCCAGAGCTGCCCTTCCCTCCTCTGGGGATCCTTCATCTGTGTGTTGGCACCTCCTAATCACCCCGGCAGGCCCTGGGAGGAGGGGACGGAGGAGGGTGTTATCTCTGGGCTGCAGGCAGGAACTGAGCCTTCTGGAAGCTCTAGGGCCTACTTTTTAGGGGCAAAGGAAGCACAGAGCCAGAAGCCTAGAGTTGAGACTACCCCCATTCTGCTCCTACTCCTGCTGCTACTGACTCTCTGTGGCCCCCAAAACCATCTGGGGGTGCCAGGACCCTGTCTGAGGTCAGGGATACTCCTGTCATCCCCAGTGGATGAATAGGGAACTCCAGAAATCACATTCTCCCCTCCCTAGGCCCCGCTGGGAGCTGGGCATCTTGCTCGGCAGAAAAACCTGGCACTGACCAGCCAGCTGTTTTATTTAAACACTTTATTGTTGAACTACACAGTCCACTCAAAGTGGATTTTAGCATATTCACAGATGTGTACAATCATCACCACAGTTGATTTTTTTGGTCTTGTTTTTTTTTTTTTTTTGAGACAGGGTCTTGCTACGCAGTTCAGGTTGGCCTTGAATTTACTATGTAGCCAAGGCTGGCCTTGAACTTGCAACAGTCTTCCTGCCTCAGCTTCCAGAGTGCTAGAATTATAGGCATGTGCCACCTGGTTTCACAGTTGACTTTAGATACTTCCATCCCTCACCAAAGAAACTGCATAGAGCCAGCTATTTTAAATTAGCTAGTTTATTTTGTATTAGCAGTGTGAGTTTATGACACAGAATTCAAAAGGGTGCAAAGGAATGTATAAAGAATGTATAAAGAGCCAGGCATGGTGGCACACGCCTGTAATCCCAGCACTCAGGAGGCTGAGGCAGGAGGATTATTGCAAGTTCGAGGCCAGCCTGGGCTACAAAGTGAGCTCAAGGCCAGCATGACTGCATAGTGAGACCCTGTCTCAAAAAAAAAAAAAAAAAAGACAGAAAAAAGGAATGTATAAAGAGCCTCCACTTACTCGAAGGCATATATACTCAGAGGCATATCCTATGGCAGGTTGCTTGGATATACCCCCGTCTGTGTGTATGCAAGGTGTGGACTTTATTTTCCCACAAAGAGAGTGATTGTCTTAACTTTTATCTTAAGACAATTATAGCCTTACATGCAGCTGCAGGAAATGAGAGGGATCCCCTTTGCCTTCTGCCTGGTTCCTCCAGTATAACATCTTTCATAACTGCCCCACACACTTAGGATATGGGCATGAGCCTTTGGCCTTATTTACATTTCACCAGTTTTTTGTTCGTTGTTGTCATTATCTCTGTAAGTTGCTAAGTTGTCGAGACTGGGCTCCAGTGTCTGATTCTCCTCCCTCAGCCTCCCAGAGTACTGGGATTATTATATAGGTACTCTTGAAAACCTAGAAGATAACCTTAGAGGGTGCTCTGAGCCCAGACTGTGCTAGTAGCAGCATCTCCTGAGCACTTCGGAGGGCCCTGCACTTAGCAGTCCTGGGAGAGGCACTGTCCTGAGGGAGGCGCTGTCCTGGAAGAGGCGCTGTCCTCACCCTCGTTTCACAGGAGGCCAGTGAGCTCCATGGAACCTTTAGCCTGCAACATTCCTCACTAGATAGGACAGCTAGGCTGTCCCAGTACTCCTGACTCTGCTTCTCCTATTCCGCAACCCCGTTTTTTTCTGTATCACAGGCAGGATGGTCCCATTCTGAGTGTCTGGATCCTCGCAGGTTCCCCCCACCCAAGGGCTGTGTGTATTTTTGACCCCTACGGTATTAGCATTACACCTCCGTGGGGGACACTTCCTCTTCCCGCCGGCAGAGGGCCACACCAGCAAGCCTGCCCCTGTCAAACTTCCCATGTCACCTAAGGGAAAAACGGATTTGTATTGAAATCTTAATTTATATTTCTTTCACCACAGATAACGACAAACATCTTTTTGTGTGTTTAAGAATCTTTCTAATTTTATCTTCTTAGGATTTATTCATATCCTTTTGATACTGGGTTGCTCATAATGACTTCTAAGGTCATTCATTTATGTAGATGGATAGGTAAATAAAGGTATTTTAAGGAAATTAGCCCATTACCTGGGATATGTGTTGAAAATATTTGTTTCCCAGTTTTTTGTCTTTTGATTTGGGTTCTAGTATTTTTGCTATTTACACAATGAAATGATTCCTCTTTTCTTTTATGGTATCCAGTTTTTTGGGTTCAGAAAGGCCTTCTCTGAGTATAAAAACCAATTTCCTAGCTGGATGTGGTGGTGCACCTGTAATCTCAGGATTCTAAGAGGCTGAGGTAGGAATATCACAAATTTAACTCAGCCTAAGCAGCTTAGTGATTTAATGAGGCCCTGTCTCAAAATAAAAGAATCTCATCAACTCTGGCCAGAGCCCAAGGGAGGAGGGGAATGGAGCCACCTCCCTGCAGGTAATACTTGAGGCGGGTGGGTGGGTGGAGCTGCACGGCCCTGGGAGGCTGGAATGACGCTGTCCGGCTCTCGGCAGATCCTGAACCCGCCACCTTCCCCGGCCACGGACCCCTCCCTGTACAACATGGACATGTTCTACTCTTCAAACATTCCAGCCGCCACCAGACCGTACAGGTAGGAGCCTGCCCAGCCCTTCCTGCACTGGGGAGGGGGCCTCGTCCTCATGTTATAGGGTCAGGCCCAGCCCTTCCTTTGGCTTTCCTGGACATCCTAGGTCACCTCCTGTGTGAGCCCCATGGGGCCAGTGTCGAGTTCAGAAACCAGCTGAACCCCACATTCTGAAGGGCTTTCTCGGGTAGCTTTGGGGAACTCTGTAAGCGGGGACAGTGCCCTAGAGCTGCATGCCTTGAAGGATATCATCAGAGGTGTTCCCATGCCTCCCACTGTCTCTTCATAGGAGAGGTCAGGGCCCGGGGCCCAGGGCTCAGGCGCTAGTGTCTGTGTGTGGAACTAGCTGTGGGCCTGGCCATGACACGTGGACCTTTGTTAGAAGGATCCTTGCTTCTTGCTCGTTGTGGCCTTGGCTTGTTTGAGCCCAGGAACCCCACAGGCCTGCTCAGCCTGACCCTAACCGTCAAGTTGCCTATATCAGGGTCTCAGACCTGTGTCCCATGTGAGGAGGACCCTTATGAGAATGCCAAGGAGAAGCAGGTTCAGGGATGGTGGTCTGTGGGCAGGATGGGCCCCCTGACCTTTAACCCTGTGGATCCAGCCAATAAGGCCAGCCCCCAAGTACTCCAGGTCTTACCCCCAGAGAGCACCTGACAGGGTAGGTGAGGTGAGCCCAGGCCAGGCCCATGCTCTGGCACCCCTAACCTTGAGTCCTCTGTGCCTGGGACTCTAGAATAGCAGGGCCTTCTGAGATGGTGCTGCCTGCCATCTAGTGGCCAGCTTTGGGACCTCCTGGACTAGAAAACAATCTCCCAGTCTCAGCACTGGAGCTGGGAGCTGAGGCCCTAGGCACAGACCCACCATTTCCAGATCCCTCTGTACTGGGTCACCTCCCTGCTCAAGGACTTGCAGTGGCTCCCTAGTGCTGTAGCATCACATCCAGCCTCCATTGTTCATCTCAAGCTGTCTCCATTGTGGTAGCCCTGCCTTCAATGTCCCCAGAGTTGTCACATCTGTGCCAGGCAAGCCAGTACCCCTAGTCTCCTGTCCTACCTTGTGCCTTTGTTTGTGCCATTCTGCTCAGGGCCCCACCTCCAACATGTCTTCCTGCTATCTGCCTGGGTATGTGTTCTGCCTTCCTGCGGGCTCTGCCTTCCCACCCAGTGCCAGTCCCCGCCAGGGTGGGACCAGGGCTCTGAAATACTATGATCCCCACCCCCAACTCAGGTCATGTGGTGTATTACTGGCTTTCTGGGCTATAACTAGATGCAGGGAACCTCCAGAAGGCTGGAAGATACTGCCAGGGCCTGTAGCCCAAAGTGGAACCATGTGAGCCCCATGATCTCCAACCGTTACAGAAATGATACTGTGGCCACATACTGCTTCTAGCACCTTCCATGCAGAATGTCATTTAATCCTCACAAGCCAAGCCCCTCATGGGGCTGTTTCATCTTCTCTGCTTTATCAGTGAGAAACTGAAGCTCAGGGAGGTTAAGTAATTAGTTACTGCCCAAGGCCAGTCTGGCAGGTTCTGCAGGACGCATGGGGCCTGGGGCTCCAGTTTTTGCCAGGGCCCCAGGCTCAACAGGTAGCTGCGGACCCACCTCTTGTTTTAGAGATGTTGAGGCTCATAGAGGGCCACTCGGCTGGGCTGAATGCTGAGTGAGGCCTGCCTTCTCCAGAGCTCGCTGATGGACAGGCAACTCTAGCCCCAGTGCATGCTGGGGCAGATGTGCACAAGGGGCCTTCTTGTCTTTATCTGTCCTCTTCAGGCCCTATATCATTCGAGGCATGGCACCACCAACGACGCCCTGCAGCACAGATGTGTGTGACAGCGACTATAGCGCCAGCCGTTGGAAGGCCAGCAAGTACTATCTGGATTTGAACTCAGACTCAGACCCCTACCCACCCCCACCCACACCCCACAGCCAGTACCTGTCGGCGGAGGACAGCTGCCCGCCCTCGCCTGTCACTGAGCGGAGCTACTGCCACCTCTTCCCGCCCCCGCCGTCCCCCTGCACGGACTCATCCTGACCTCGGCCGGCCCACCCCGGCCTCTCTGCGCCCCTGTAAATATTTTTAAATATGAACAAAGAAAAAAATATATTTTATGATTTAAAAAAATAAATATAATTGGGATTTTAAAAACACGAGAAATGTGAACAGTGATGGGGGTGGGAGGGCTGGGAAAACTTTGTACAGTGGAGAAAATATTTATAAACTTAATTTTTTTTTTAAGATGTCACTGCCATTCTTTCGTGCCCTGTGTGCATATGAGTCGGTGTCCCCACGGAGTGAAGGCCAAGCCCTGGATGGCGATTGTGTGCTTGTCTTGCTGTGTGCCTGCGTCCCTCTGTGAAGTTCCCAAGGGGCTGAGGCCCTGGAGTCTTACCTGAGAGGCGTCCCCATCCGCACATGTGACTTGTGCAGTCCTGGAGGACGCTGGGCTTGATTTCAGGCCCAGGTGTTGGCACTGGCACTCTGTGTGCTCTTCTTGCACTGGGCCCTGCTGGTGGTGTACTTGGGCTTTGCGCCGTCCGTTGGCCCATGTTAGTGTCATCTGTCCTCTTGTGTGCTGGCTGAGACACGCTGCCTCCTGATGATGAGGGAGCCGGAGTTCTCTTCCTGACCCCTCTGTGTAGACCCCACTGGATGGGGCTACCAAGCTCATTTTGCCAACCTGCACTTGTCTTGTGGCCGGGCGGGGTTCCCCTTGTCCCCAGAAGCAGTCAGCAAAACAAAGCCTGAGGTCCATAGAAAGAAGGGCTGGTGCCTGCGGAGAGAGGTGTGTGTGTGTGTGTGTGTGTCCTGAACTGTGGGAAGTGATTGTGTATGCATGTGAGAGGTGTGTGTGTGTGTGTGTGTGTGTGTCCTGAACTGTGGGAAGTGATTGTGTATGCATGCATGTGTGTGTCCTGAACTGTAGGAAGTGATTGTGTGTGTGTCCTGAACTGTGGGAAGTGATGTGTGTGTGTGTCCTGAACTGTGGGAAGTGATGGAGAATGGAGAAGTAACCTAGGGATCCTGTGCATCTCCAGAAGGAATGCCTGTCACATCTCGAGGAAGGGCCTGACCCCAGCCAGAGCACTGGGAAACAGGAGATCAGAGCAAGGACACACTTGGTGCTAGTGCAGCTCCGCTTAAGAACCAAAACACAGCCAGGTGTGGTGGCGCATGTCTGTAATCCCAGCACTCAGGCTGAGGTAAGATGATTGTGGTGAGTTCAAGTTCAGCCTGAACTACAAGGTCTCAAAAAACAAAACAGAAGAAAACACCAAAAGAATCAAAACACAAAGGGGGACCAAGTGCCCAAGCAAATTTCCCAGCCTCCCCATAGAACCTCAAAATTGAAAACTTCACCTCTGCCAAGGGGGCTTCAGTTACAGATGAAGGTCACAGCTGAGGGAGGGAGACTCGTGCAGGACCAACTGCAGGACAGCATCTCTGCTGAGGACACTGGAACACGTAGATCCCGTGGATGGCTGCACCCATGGGGAGTAGTTGGGGCCCAAAGCCTGCAGCACCTGACCCTTTGGGGACTCACTCCCCTGGTGCCTGGCTGCCCAGGCCTTCCTGGAGGTATGGTCAGCACCACAGTGAGGGGACAGGCCAGCTTGTTGGTGCTGCCATCTAGTCAGAGCTGGGATTTTTTTTTAGTGTCAGGTTTCAAACTCAGGACCTTGTGCTTGCCAGGCAGGCACTGTACTGCTGAACTATATCCCCAGTCCCTCAAGCGCTTAATAAGCAGCACAAATGGGATCTTCCTCAGGGGCTGGCTGCACCTCTGATGGAGTCCTCGGGGTGGCCGCGATGTTATTCAGGGTGCTCATAAGGGCTCCATGAGGTAGTACATATGGAAAAACCCCCTATCAAAGGCTGGTAGCAGGTCCCTGGTAAACAGAAGCTGTGACCTCTCTTCTGTTGTTCGAGCTCAGAGAGATGATGGGCTGGCTCAAGCTCACAGCCAAGACCAGCAGCGCCGGGGCACCCAGAACTCTTAGGCTCCTAGGCTGGGTCTTCTGTCCCCTACCACAGAGCAGGCTCAGGTCTCCTGAGCACCCCAGACTGCTAGGCTTTTTGGTGGGGCCGTGTACCCTGAGGTGATCACAAGTGTGAGTCTCTACCCGAGCATCCAGCAAGGACTCTGCTGCCTTAGAGACAGTGGGTGCATCATGGGGTTCTTTCAGGTTCATTCTCCTATTCATCTATCCATCCATCCAGTGTAAAGGGCCCTTGGAGGACCACGACCGGGACAGCTTTCCCTGAGAGAAGGCCATTTGTCTCCATTTTGGCTAAACCTTGCCCTCATTCTGTGTGTTGATATGTACAGAGCTGGATAGGATCATACTGTACACTCTCAATTGGCTTTAAGCAATGCACATGGGTTTAGCAGTGTGCTGATATGTAGCCTTTGAAGCACTGCGCAGGTCAGTGATGCCCCGCCTATAGCTCCCTGCTACTAAGCGTGGGCTAGGCCAAGAGACACCAAGCTGGCTAGGATTGAGCCTGGCCAAAGAGACCGTGAAGACCCAGGGCAGGAAGACTAGGCATCAAAGCGGAGGCAACCTACCGAAAACACAAGACACTTCCTCAAACTGTTATGCAGATTCCTCCAAACTTATAGGCTACCTGTTATCAGAATCGGAATCCAGTGCTCATTCTGCGTATCTCTCCCTGCCTATTTTAGAGGTGCTATTGTGCCTCCTACCTAGCCCAGCTCACAGAATTCACAGTTCCTGCCACTCTCTCCTTCACAAATTAATAAAACTCAGGCTCGGCCCTGAGTTGAGGCCTTTGTTCCAGTTAGCCATTGTTCCGACTGGACTTAGGACCCCCTTGGCTCTCCACAACTACAGATATGTTTTTGTCTCTTTACTCACCATGGGTGGCACTGCAAGTGGAGATTAGAATTTACTTATTAGAATTCCAATAACTTTTCCCTGGGATTACAAATATAAACTCCTCTGGACTGCAAGGAGGCCAGAGCCGCCTCTCCATAGGCCCTGCCTGATGTCAGGCAAGCAGTGGGGAAGGAGTGGCCTGGTAACCAGTGTGATTGAGGAGAGGAGTCACTATTTGCAGCCCTTCTCACCTCAGCATCCTGGGCATTTCCCCATAAAGCTATTGCATGGCTACAAGTACTGTTTGGCACCAGACACCAGAGGGCTCTCTACACCCTTGCCTGTGCCGTTAGGGGGAGCAATATGGCAGCCCACTGCTCCAGCCCTCTTCCCTGGGAGTCAGACCACTCTGCTTCTCTTGTATTAGTGCACTGAGTTCAGCCTGGCTGGCAAGGAGGTGCTTCCCTTCTTGCAAAGGACACTTGATAGCCAGGGCAGGGAGAAAGGGAACCACGGGGCTTGTTCATCACCCAGATGCTAGCAAGCTTCTGGGCCCCGCATCTCCCACCAGAGCCCCTGTCTGGCTTTTTCCTTCCAGGTTCAGCACCTCTTGGCCCAACCCAGCACAAGCCGGACACCGGGCTACTGTACACTAACCCCAGCCCTTCTGCAGCATGTCCTGTGCCAGGGCAGCCCCAGTCCAGCCCTCGGCTCTGGGCCAACCCGGGAGAGTGGGGGGAGCTGTGCCCTGGTGACAGAATGAAAGGAAAGACAATGTGGAGTCTTTTTCTTCAAACTGAAGTTAAAGTCTTTCTTCAGAGTTTTCTTATCTGAGTGCATGTGTGAATTAAAATGTTCTTTTATGAATGCATGGAGTTTATTTGAAAAAGATTACTTTAAAAAAAGTAAATAAAAATAAAAACGTTACTTGATAGAGTTAACCTTAGGCAGCTCTGTGTCTGTAGAGTTTATGGAGTAACAGCTGGGTGGTGGGTACAAGGGCATTATTATATCCTTCTCTATTCTGAACAAGTTTGAAAATATTAAAGCTATGTGCGTGTGTTCTTAAGTCTAAATGGACTGAACAGTTAAACATTAAAAACGGAACTCGAAAAGGACTAGGGGAAAAGGGTGAGGTTGGTGATCCATGAAATCTAGACGTCTTAGGATGCAGAAGCTGATCTGTGTCAAGTGCAAAGCTTGCTAGTCATCCCCTACTCCAGCCCTGTCCCTTGCTCGCCAACCCACAGGAGACAGGGTAAGCTCTGACACCTGCTCCCCCAGGAAGCCCTCCCTGATTCCAGCCCCTCCACCTGCGTTAGTGGTGCACCATAACTGGTGACCTACGGAGCCCACTTACCTTGGGTGAGTTTGTATCATCTCATTTAATTATAGCGCACATGTTCCTGTGACCTACCTGGGTCTTGGGTGAAGGAACCTGAAGCAGAAACTGGCAAATCCTTTGAAGAGGAATTGAATGAAAGGATGCAAGGGGTCCTCCCTAGGCAGCACGCAGATGGCAGGTACCAGCCCCTGGCTGTCCCTTCTGCCCTTGGGCCTCTCAAATACCAATCCTTGCCTGCGGGTTCCTGGCAGCCTCTCCCATGCTACCTTGGGAGCCGTAATATTCTGACACTTGCCGTTCAGGCTTCACTCTGTCCTTTTTCTAAAGTATGGGCCGTCCTCCTTCTGCTCAGGAGCTTGCCCTGGCTCCCACTGGCTGGGCCTAAAGTCCCAATTCCTTTCCTAACTTATAAGACTTCAGAGTCCCCCTGATTTGTCTCCTGTTTCCCTGTAGATCTGTGATCACCCCAAGCTGTTCACCACTGAATGAACTGGCACCTCTTCTTCTTTGGTTTCTTTCCCTGGCATGCCCGCCCTTTCTATCTGCCTGTTTGTCTCCCTCCCTAACTCTGAATCAACTGGCCTGACTGTGTTCCTTGCTAGCTGTGTACCAGTGGTCCACAGAAAGGAGCAGGAGAGTGAGGCTAGATCACTCAGCCACGACCGCCCAGCCAGGCATCTGAATGCTTTTCAGGCATGTGAACTAATCTGTAAATGGGGATGATAACACTGCTCTGGAGGTAGCAGTAACTTCTTTCCAGAGAGTCTGCCTCCAGCCACAGGCTTTGCTGGAAGGGTGGACTGAAGGCCTGGGGATATGTTCGCATGGCCAGAGACTCATCTCCCCAGTCCCTGGGGTTGCCCCAACCCTCGCTGCACAAATTGCACAGGCTAACGGAGCAGAATTGGAGCTCCAGAGTCTCAGTCAGTGAGGGAGAGGGAGATCTGGCCAGCTGGGGTCCATGCAAAGAACAAGGGTGGGTACAGAGAGATGCTGCACTTAGGAAAGGCAGCCAGTGGCCAGATCAGCAGTGGCCAAGCTCTGCCACTTTCCCCACAGGCCAGAATTCCCAAAGGCAGCCTGAGGAAGCCATGGAGTAACTGCACTGTTCCCTCTACACTGTTCATCCTTGACCAACCCAGTACCACTGGTCAGCTGCTGGACTTGCTGAGACCAGACCTTGTCTGGGGTGTTAGCATCCGGGAGTGGCACTGTCCCTCAAAATCCTGCATGTCACCATCCCTCTGTCACCAGTCTCCCACCCTGCCTGGGATACGCTTGCTTCCCCAGTAGTATAAAACTCCACTGGAAGTGGGGTGGTGGTGGTCTCTGTCACTGTTCTCTCTGCCATCTAGACCCAGGAAGGGCTCAGTCCTCCATGTCCTGTGGGGTGAAATGCCACTTCCTCAGGAAGGGTCTGCACCCTAGTCTGTTCACCATAGGATCACCTGCTGTTTCCCAGGTGGTGTGGGGACCAATCCCATCAGGACCTCAGAGCCACCCGTATGCAGGGTTCTCATCAGTGGGGACTGTCCTGGTTCCCCAGGGCAGCTCTAGCACACCTAACTCCACGGTCCTGGCAGCCTCGTTTCTGCTCTGTGTTGGGGTAGATTGTTCTCAGGGATGTAAGATGGGCAATCCTGGGTGCCCTGGGTAGCGTGGAGCGCAGGTTTTGAGGTCCAAGACCTTGCCTCTCCAAGAGGAGAGATGGCAGTTGAAGGGCCTGGCTAGCATTTTGGGGGAAGCTCAGGTGTCAATCCTTCCCCAAGACAAAAATGGTAATGCTACCTCCTTCATGGAGCCTTCATTGAGGGTCTCTTTCCTGGTAGTTACGGGTCACAGCTTGGGACACTTAGTAACGCTGTCATCTTGACCCCATTTCTCGGGTTGTTACCTTATTAAGGTTCAGCAGCTACGAGAAAGTAGTGCCCTCCTCATAAAAAAAAAAAAAAAAAATCTAACTATGGAGAATGCGGGCATCGATCCCGCTACCTCTCACATGCTAAGCGAGCGCTCTACCACTTGAGCTAATTCCCCAGCTCGAAGGGATTTCCGCTCTGATGCATATTGTGGTCACGTCATCACCGGTTTCCCCCCTCAACCCTCCCCACCCCAACCCCATTAACCTGCGGTCACCTCGTCACCCCATTGGTTCCCTTGCACGCCGAGTTCCCCGGCCAAGACTGGTTTGGCTCAATTTAGTTTTAAAAGGCATTCACCTCTCGGATTGGCGGTGTAAAGCGTCCATCAAACGGAGGACCTGCTGTTGCTACGGCGTAGGGAGACCCAGCCAGGCTTCCCCCGATTTCTGATTTGTTTCTCAGACTCCAGGGTCCTAGAGATTCCGGATCCGTCAAGTCCTTGGGAAAGAATGCTCCCCTCGAGCTTGACTGGCAAGGCCTTTGAGCCAATCCGAGTAGAGGCAAGGGAGTCGCCAGACTATCCAATAGGTTGCGGGGGGCGGGAGAGTCAGGCCAATGAGCATGTTTCAGGGGCCGGGTCGGAGCTACGATTGGCTGCAAGGAGGCCGGAGGGAGGGCGGGGGAACTCAAGGCCTGCTTGATACGTCCGCCATTTTGGGCGCTTCGCTGATGGTGTCGGTGAGCGCTTTTCCCGCCTGAGCGCAACTAGCGGCGGGTCGTGGGCACCTTCAGGTAATGTGGTAGGGGGGCAGCGGAGCGGCCTGCGGCGCGGGTGCACGAGCCGCGCGGGTGGGCGGGCGGCGGGGCCAGTCGCCTGGACCTGGGCGGCGTGGGGAGGGAGCGTCCCGGCCCCTCTCCCCTCCCCCCCGGAATTCGCTGCTCCGCGGGCCCGGGAGGCGCGGCGCCGAGTCCTTCCCGGCCGCTCCCGTCCGCTCCTGTCAGCCGGGCCTCGCGGGCCGGGCGCTGGGGGCGGGACGCCCGGACGGCGAACTTTGTGCCTCGTTGACGTTCCTGGCCTTGCACAGCGGGCGGGCGAGGCGCATCGGCACCGGCTCCGGCTCCGGCCCCGGCCCGGTTCTGACTTGACTCCGCGGCTCGCAGTGTTGCCCATTGCCCGGCCCCATTCCCGCTCTTGCGGGGCCTCCTGCCTGCGGGTTCCTTGTAACTTCTGGGGGCCTCCGGCAGCGTGTCAAGTTGAGGCAGCAACTCGCAGTAAAGATTCGCCAAGGCCTTTGTTGGACTCTGCTCTCCGAGAAACAAGTTTTGTGGGTTTCTGTTAATTCGCCGCAGAGTCATCGGAATACACGAACACCAGTTGGGATTCTCCCAGTAGCCTTTTGAGTGATTTTCCAGCTCCGATGTTGTGTCTCGGATGCGGACCTGGGCACGATTGCCTCCCTGGCGTCTTCGAGCCCGGGGGGTGGTCCTTCTCGTGGCTCCAAGGACCTCCCTCTTAAAGAAGCCCATTCCCTGTTAACTTGCAGATGTTGCATCTTCGGGTCCTGCACGCTTTGATCGAAAACTGGCCTTTTAGTTGTAGGTGGACCGAATGAGTTCTCGGGGTGTGTATGTTTGTGCTCTGACGTCTCCACCTCATGACTTACTGTCATTTGTGTGTAGAGCTTTGTTTATGTTTCGCTTTTGTGGGAGGGGGGCACTTGGTAGTTTTCTTTAATCCTCGCAGCGCTGTTGCTGTTGATACTGTCTCACTTTGTTCAGCGAAGTTTACTTCGATTTTGCCCTCAAGGTCATGTTGCAGATAGGCATCAAGTGAGAAGGGACTCCAGATTTCCAGCCACTGAAATGTGCCTTAGGTAGCAAACGTTAAGATACCGGTTTAGTGATGGTGTTTGAGCTTTGTTCACTCTGGAGTTAAAGACTGCCTAGGCCTGACCCCTTCCTAGCTCTGTGACCTTGGGCAAGTTACTCAACCTCTCTCTTCTTTCCGTAATATGGGAATAATAATAGTATCTCTGTGATAAGTTTATTCTAACAAGTGTACATGATATATATGTGATTGAGTAGATGGGTAAATGAGTTAATACACGTGAAGCACCGGGAACCGTGCTTCACAAATGGAATCAATCAGCTCAGTAATTAGTGGTTATTACTACTAATTTAAATTTGATTTTAAATGTTTAGGTATAATTAAGAAGTGAAATGAGTGTTTAAGATCTTCCTTAGTGATTTGTCTTTAGAGAGCTCTGTGGTTTTTAAGGGTCAATTGGACTGAAAAGAAATGATCTTGACGTTGTTTTTTCCTGAGAGAGGTTGTTGAAATTTAAATTACATACATTTCCTGGAGTAATTAGTGGTCTGCAGAATATTTTCTTTAAAGAGTTGGTTAAATACAGAAGAACCACCAAGAGTTTAAATAGGACTGTTGCTCATGTACTTCTGGATACTGCTTCTGGATATGATTGGCTGCAGATACTATAACTTTTTTTTATCTTTTGTCTCTGGAGGCAGGGTTTCACTATATAGTTCAGGCTGGCCTTGAACTTGCAGGAATCCTCCTGCTTCAACCTCCTGAGTGCTGGGATTACAGGTGTGCACAACCGTGCCCGGCCCAACTGTTGTAATTTAACTGTAGGGTTTCTAATACTTCTGGTAGCTGTTGATGAGTGAAAGGCTACTGAGTATTGAATTCTGTTTCAGCTAAAGTACAGCTTGAACATCTCTAAGCGGAAAATCCAAAATCCTTAGAGGTAGAGCATTTGCTCTGTGTTTTAGAACATTTCTGATTTTAGATTTTTGGGTTACCAGTGCTGATGTGTACTACCACATCTACCAAGCGATGTGTACTACCACACCTGGCTTGTCTTTTCTTTTTAACTAACAAATAATAATTGTACATATTTATGGGGGTACGGTATAATACTTCAGTGTGTATGCCATGTGCTGATCATATCGGGGCAGTTACTGTTTCCATCTTCTTATCTTTTCTTTACCTCTGGCACCTTTAAATGTCTATTCTAAAGTGGTAGGGCTTTGGTCTGGGCACTAGAGCACTTGCCTCATATGCATAAGGTCCTGGGTTCCATTCTAGCATTGAAAAAGGAACACAGAAGAGAAGGAAAATTCAGTAAAATGATTTTTTTTTTAATTACTCTACATTAGGAATTCTCAATTTAGGATGATTCTGCCCCCCAGAAAACATTTGGGAATCTCTGGGACATTTTTGCTGGTCACATATGTGGTGTGTTTCTAGAGGGTGGAGGCTAAGGCTATTGGTAAACACCTTATGCACGTTTGACAGGCCTTCTCCCCCAAGGAAATTGTCTAGCCCCAGATGGCAGTGATGCTGAGGTTGAGAAGTCCTGTTCTAGAAGATGCTAGACTGGCCTACATTAGTCATTTGGGGCACTTTAACACCATGGTTATTGGACTTCACCTTTGGAAATTTGTGGTGAGATTGAGACTCTAATTTTAAAAAGCTTTCTTGACAATAGTGAAGTGCTGCTGGGTTTTGGATCCACTCTTTTGGACCACAGATATGAGAGACTGTCAGTACAGGATTCTTTGAGTGGTCTGTGAGCTCAGTCATTACAGTACATAGACCCTGTCGTAGAGCTTATTAAGTACTTGGGAAAGATGAGATATGTACATGATTTTTCAGGTACTGAAGACCGAACTTTAAGATAAATACCAAATGAATTTTCATCTGGGTGTGCTGATGCTTGGCTATAATTTTAGCACTTTGGGAGGCTGAGGTAAGGGGATCCTGAGTTTGAGCCCAGCCTGGGCGATTCGGTGTGTTTTTGAGACTCCATTTCAAAATAAGAGCCATAGATGCAGCTCATTGCGAAGGTCCTGCCTTTGACCCCCAGTATCTCTGAAATACATACATGCATGCATACATACATATGTACATGCATGTATGCATTCATACGTATATACATACATACATATGAACAAACTTTACGTGCCTGCTTGGTAAGCACTTTGCAACTGAGCTACATCCCTGCCCCAGCCTTAAAAAAATTTTTTTTAGTTGGGTATAGTGGGGCATGTCTATAATTCCAGAACTTGGGAGGCTGGGGCAGGAGGATAGCTGCGAGTTCAAGGCCAGCCTGGGCTACAGAGTGAGTTCAAGGCCAGCCTGAACTGCATAGTGAAACCCTGTCTCAAAAAGACAAAAAAAGAATTTCTTTTTTTAATCTGGAGATACAGTCTCATAAGCTCCAGGCTGGCCTCAAATTTAAAATTCTCCTGCTTCAGCTTCTCAAGGAATTGGGATTACAGGAGAGTACCGTTAGGCTCAGCTGAATGATTTTTCTAAGATGATTTGGAAAGTTTTTCTCCTGCTTTACTTCATGAAAATACACTGTCATATTGTTCTGAAAATTAGCAGAACTCTTAGGTTAGGGTTTGCATCCACGTTGAATAATCTTACCCTATGCTAATTTTTGTGTTTTGTGTCTTTTGCTCTCTTGTCAGTAAGCTGTTGGTTCTGTTTTTAGATCCCAGTTTCAGCTTCACCTCCTTCCCTTTCCTCCCCTCCCCTCCCCCAGGGCCTTCCTTTCTATTTTAATGAGGATCTTTTCATAAAGAGTTAGCCCTGGATCAGTTTACCAAGACTGACAAGAGAGAGACAGTAGGGTGTGCCTAATCTTTGTGCTCTGAACTTTGACCCAAATGGAGGAGGAGTGTGTTTTTTCCTGGAGATGAGGTGCAGTAGTAGAGTGAAGGTAGAGAGATTTTTTTTTTTTTTTTTTTTTTTTTTTTTTTTTGGCTTTTGGAGACAGGGTTTCACTCTATAATCCAGGCTGGCCTCAAAATCGCAGCAATCCTCCTGCCTCAGTCTCCTGAGAGCTGTGATTACGGGTATGCACCATCATGCCTGGGTAGAGATACTTTTCTTGCCCATACTTAAAATTTAGATTATGCAGCTGATTGGTTGAAAGAATGTTAGGATGAAAACAATATATTTTCATTAACTAAATGTTAATACCCAAACATAAAGCAGAAGGTCATGGGGGCACTTGGTCATTTTTCAGGCTGAAATTTGACCTGTGGCTCTGTTGAGAACTGTAAGTGACCCCATCTACTGTTTATCTTCTTGTTTTGATCAGCAAGTATATTAAGTTCTTACTCCAGCAACTGTATTAGGGATTCACTGATGAACAAGCTCTTAAGGACTTGTATTCTAGAGGGAGAGGCAGGCAATTACAAGGGAGACTAGTTAACAAAACTTGTTAGAGTTAATGTAGTTGGCTGTGCATATCAGTGAATTCTGCATCCTCAAGTTTCTCATCCATGGGTTCATCCAACTGTGGAATGAAAATATTTTTAAAAATTTCCCAAAAGTTATAGAAGATAACATTTGAGTTGACCACAGGTACTAAACATTCAATTGAAGCCGCATGAATAAAATGATATATAGGCATACTCTGCTGTGGCTACCAACCACTTCATAGAGCCTCGGTCTCTCCAACACTTGTGTGAGCCTTGTTTTTATATCTTGTGTACAGTATAGTTAGGTTATGAATAGTTGCTGGTTGTATTACACTGAACTTACACAGACTTTTTTTAGTTATTCGCAAAACAATACAGTATAATAACTATTTACTTAACATTTCCATTGTGTGAGATACAAATAATACTGACATGATATAAATTATACAGGACGATATCTGTAGGTCACATGCAAACACTATAACATTTTATGTAAGGAACTTCAGTCCTTAAATTTGGGTGTTCACACTGAAGCTGGGAGGGTACTGGAACCA